AAAAAAAAATAAATAAAAAAAATAAAAAGACCCTGAAGCTGGGAAAGATTGAGGCAGGAGAAGTAGGGGACAACAGAGGATGAGATGGTTGGATGGCATCACCGATTCGATGGACATGGGTTTGGGTAGACTCCAGGAGCTCGTGATGGACGGGGAGGCCTGGCATGCTGCGGTTCATGGGGTTGCAAAGAGTCGGGACACGACTGAGCAACTGAACTGAACTGATCAACAGCGTAATGGCCATGAAGGAGTAAGTACAGGCTACAATGGAGCACAAAGAGAGGAAACTAACCCTAAGGCTTTTACTATTTTCTATTTTGAAATGACTGAATTAATATCCAGAAATAAGAAGTATGCTAAATATACTCAAATAACTGCACAATGTTCAAGAGAACACAAAATTAATTTAAGTTTTTATTTTAAAAAGTTCTCTGTCCTATAGGAACTTTATAATAAAATAGAATATGAAATGTGAAAAAGTGAATTTTTAGAGTTTAATGTCCATACTTAGTTCTAACTCCTGAACAGTAAACATTTAAAAATAACATATGGAGAAATACAGCATAGAACCAAAAGAAAAATATTATTTGTGTATACATTTCTCTTTACATGTGACATTTTAGCTATTAAAAATGCTGGGGCGGACAAGTAATGTATTTTCACTTATACTTAGGTAAAGCTTCATAACAAAAGCAGTATGTCATGTCTAATGGAAAAGAAGAACATTACACAGATAGTAAATTTAAATGATGGGATGGTGGGGGGAGACAGAAAAATGTTTAAAAAAACAAAACAAAACAAGATGTAATGGGGACTCTAAGGGGAGTTATCAGGTTTAAATACCTAAGTATCTTCAAGTTCTAATGCAAATATGAGAAGGCTAATATATAAGTAACCGCCTGCAATGCATGATACCCTGGTTTGATTCCTGGGTCAGGAAGATCTGCTGGAGAAGGGATAGGCTACCCACGCCAGTATTATTGGGCTTCCCCTGTGGCTCAATTGGTAAAGAATCCAACTGCAATGAGGGAGACCTGGGTTTGATCCCTGGGTTGGGAAGATCCCCCCAGAGAAGGGAAAGGTGACCCACTCCAGTATTCTGGCCTGGAGACTATATAGTCCATGGGGGCACAGAGTCGAACATGACTGAGCACCTTTCACACTACAGCATAGAATTAGTCTTAGATGACTTGGAAACAGTCTCTAACCAGTGCGTGAACTAGGATTTGGCAATGAAGAAGAAAGGAACGAGCAGATCTGCTTCCCAACTGAACCTTTAACGGGTTGTAGGTGTCAGTTATCAGTCCTCTCAGTCTTTGAGCCTGGGGTAACTAGAGACCAAGACTGTCACCACCAGTCAAGAACAAACACATTCTTTTACCCTTTCTTTTGTCCTTTATAATCCATTTGTATCAAGGCACGAGAAAGGCTGGCAAAAACTAGTGGTAGATGAAAGCCGCACACAAATTTGAAGGAAAAATGTATAAGATAGGAAACTCAAGATAGTTCTCAGGCTCTTACTACAGCCAAGAGCAGCATTTCTTATTCTTTCAGCTTCCCATTGCCATTTCATGTTATTATTTGTTCTTTGATGGTAATAGCATGAAAAATTTTGGCATCTGCCTTAACCTGACACCCATCCCCCATTACTCTTTTGAGGATTATATTTTGATAGGGATCTGTTTGAAAGAACGTCAAACTGTCTGACTTTTTAACTCCACTTCTCCCCACTAGTGCCTTCTGGATCACCTCTCTTGATATCAGAGGACCTTGAACAAGAAATAACTAGACCTAGTAGTGAAGTTAGGTTCATAAGATGATGTGTGTTAGCCTGGTGACCTCAATGCTGCTAGATCCAATTTATTCAGGAACACTGAAAAATGAGAGGAAGTCAGAGGCGGTGACAGAATTGAGATTCAAATATGTCCTGCACTGCAAAATGAAACAGGAGGCTAAATTAGAGAAGAAAGAGGGTAAACAGTCAAACCACTGTTCTGAAATAAGGTAGCAAACTGGAAGACATAAAGAGAAAATGCTTCTGAAGATGTATTCAGAGAGAAGATGGGAAAAAAGTCAACATTTTTGGCTGTTGTAAGCCAAAAACACCCCAGTAGCAACAGATGCTATCAATCTTACTTAAATACTGCTGGTCCTATATACTGTTCTTTTCCTTTCATTGCTAACTTTGCAAGACAATCAGTAACCTGGAAGCAAAGGTTAGACTGTAAGGGCTTAAGAAGTCTCTTTATCAGCTTACCACTCATTCACTTCTTAACCCTTTGCAACATAACCTCTCTCAAAATGCTGACACTTGATTAAAAAATTAGTCTCTCCAATTGATGCTCCAGAAAAATCCAAAATACACAGGAACTCCTTCTGAAATGACAATGGAGTAGCGAGCTTTTAGAGAATGTCTGAAATGAAAGACCTAGATAAGAAAGAAAACGAAAACTAGTATAGCCGCTATGGAGAACAGTGTGGAGATTTCTTAAAAAGCTGGAAATAGATCTGCCATATGACCCAGCAATCCCACTTCTGGGCATACACACCGAGGAAACCAGATCTGAAAGAGACANAAAAAAAAAAGAAAGAAAATGAAGACAGGAGGGGAGTGATTTATGGGGGCAAAGTAAAAGGGTGAAGGAAGTGGTACTGCCTACAAAGTGTACTATTCTGTGTTTGATATGAAATCTGGATGGATGTTCTCTTTATATTCGCTTGTTCCTAATCATTTAATTAGATATACTTCCTGTATCTACTGACTGATTACTGCTTACAAATATTTCACCAGACTGCTGGTGATGTCCTCTTAAACATCACTGTCCACCTTCAAGCCAGATTTTTTTCATGACTTGCCCCTCTATTCTGTTAATGGTATCCCTATTTTCTCAATTATTTATGTTCAAAAGTTTTTACAGTTCTAACTCCTTATCTAATGAGTCAACAAACTATACATTCTTCTCAATGCCTCTAAAAGCCGTCATTTCTTTTCCATTTCCAGTATAGTTAGCCAACTTTTAAGGCCTTATTAACTCTGCCTGAATAGAAAGCCTCCTACATGAATACAGATAGTCCCTGACTTACAGTTTGACTTATAGTTTTTGACTTTACAATGGGGCAAAAGTGACAAGCACTCAGTAGAAACTGTGTTTGAATTTTGATTTTTTTCCCACAGCTAGCAATAAATGCCACATAATCTCTCATGACGCTGGGCAACGGCAGTGTGAGACACAACTCCCAACTAACCATATGATCACAAGGTAGACAACTGACACTTAAGACCATTTTGCTTTTCATTTGTAGTACTCAATAAATTATATGAAATATTTAATACTTTATTACAAAATAGGTTCATATTAAGTGATTATGCCCATCTGTGTAAGCTAATATATGTGTCCTCAAGACATTTAAAGTAAGCTAGGCTAGGCTATGATGTTCAGTAGGCTAGGTATATTAAACGCATTTCCAATTTATGATGAGTTTATCAAATCTAGGAAGATCTGTACTCTACTACTAGGCTTTTCCTTACCCATCTTAGGGACCAAAGTGCAGTCATTTCTACAGTGACACCTTGTGTCACTTTCCCCTGCTTTAAGGACTTCCACGGCTAATTGAGTACTAATCCCCTAAATGAACCCATTGATACAGTGCTTTCTTACCTTGGTGCATTTGTCTATGCTCTTCCTTCTGTGTATAATATTTTCTCCCCCACACCCTGCCTCTCTCACTGTCTTTTGAGTAGTTAAGACCATAGGCTCTGAAGACAGACTACCATGTCCAAATCCTGCTCTGCCATTTGCAGCTTTTATATATATATATTCTTAGGCAGGTTACTTAATCTCTCTGTGCCTCCATCTTAAAAAATACAGATCTATAAATTTACAGATCTATAAATTTACTTAATTCACAGGGCTGTTCTTTCAGATTAAGACATGTAAAGCACTGAAGAGTACCTAAAACGTGACAAATTCTAACATGATAAATGCTAGCAATAAAATTAGTAGACAAAAACCTTTAGTCTTAGTCTACTAGTAATTCCCTTTGCTCTCAGATAACTAAGGGCCCCCTCATTTATATCCACACAGCACTTGTAGTTGTACTATTTTTGCAGTCAGTCTTAATCAGTTACAGTTCCTTGAGACAGGAGGCTGTCACACAGAGCAGTTTGGTTTGTTCCCTCATTCATTCTTTTTTTCCATTAAGTTCACAAATATTACTGGGTCCTGTGTACACCCTACAGACACCAGGCAACCTGTGAGCTGTTCCCTGTTATAAGACTCTATAGTATAAACAATAGATTACGGTTATTGCAAAGGCAGCAGAAAGTTGAGGAACCAAGGATTTCTTTTGACCCAAAAATAATTTGCATACATTATTTTCATGGGTCATTTAAGAGTTATCTTAGTAGCATACACACCAGGCTAAGAACAGTGGTTGTCTTTGGGTTGGGAGGACAGTAGGTGTTTTTCTTTTTCCTTTTTATTTAGCCTACGTGAATATCAATTGATTTTGTAATGAAAAGGAAAAAACGACTAAGTTTTTTAAAAAAAAAACTTTAAAAAATTCTCTCATTCTATGGCTCAATTAACAAATACTACAACCCCAACAACATCACAAGCTTTCATTATTTTAATATTTCCCAATATTTGGAGTAACAGAATAGCATTAAACCAAGTTAACTGGGTAAAGTCTTTTCCCCAAGAATGCAAGTACTTAACTGCTTGGTTGAGGATGTTTGGGTACTGATCTCAGTAAAACTATAAAGCTAACAGAATCAAACACATGACTCAGCATGCATCAAGTACTTAGTACAATATGTAAGTGTGAACATATGTACATACATAAAATCTGGATGGATGTTCAGCAACATATTAATAATGGTCATTTCTAAGTATGGAGGTTGGGGTGATTTTTACATTGTTCTTTATGCTTTTCTACACTGTCCTGATATTTTTATAATGAACATATATTATTTTCATAAAGACAATAAAATTATTAATAAAGTAGATAACAAGTAGTAGTAATGGCTTAATCTTTGCTACTTAAAAGTATGGTCCTCAGACCAACAAATCAACATCACATTGGAGCATGTCAAAAATTCTTAGGCTGTACTGTAGACCTAGTGATTCAGAATCTATATTTAATCTACATTTTAAGATCCTCGGGTGATTCATATGGGCATTAAAATTTGAAAAGCACTGATTTAGACACTATGGCCTTTACATGCAGGGACACTAGGAACAATATTTTCTTTCTTCATTATATATTCCAGGCATGAAACATACGTATTTGTTGGATAAATAAGCATATAAATGATATTACTTCTGAATAGACATCAGAATGACGGTGGAAACTATATCTACTATATCTAATTGTTTATTTTCTGCCAGAGTTCCCAGAAATGGTTGCTTAATATTGACTGTAAATACTGTTAAATTATTTTAGTAAAATGTTGACCCCCAAAATGTAATCCTTTTTGAAAAGGAGTCCTTGCTCACAGAGATCTATACGTCTCTTTCAATCATTTCTCTAGTCTCCTATCTACACACACATCCTATAGTGACTCCTTATAATCTCTCCCTCAAAGCAAACTCATTTTCAAGATTTTAACTAACATCTCTAAAGAGAAACCTTACCACTTAACTTTCTCAAACTCCAGCTGCCTAAACATTTAACTCTATGTCCTACACCTCAAATTTAACCCATTTATTCTCCATCATCTATCTCCCAGCCCCCTTCAGAAGAGAACAGTTATCCATCCTCACAGACTCACATTTTACAAGTTTTAGAGAAAAGAGATCACCAAGTCTACATTATTTTAGAGAAGAGAATAGGATCTAGAAGAATTAAATGACAGCCCAAGAGGCTAGTTATTGGCAAAACAAAACTACAATCTGCACCACTACACTCCCAATAGATTACCACCTCCCAGAATTTTGATAGAATTCTCGTTTTTATCAACAGCACTTAAATTCACTTTTTAGAAACACAGGTTCAAAATATCCATCACCGAGATCCAAGGAATCAAGTTCTGTGTATTGTTGACATTTCTCCCGTTCCTTTTTTCTTACTTTTTAGAACACACTGCATTTTCTTTTCAGCTGAGCTTCCTTCAACATGTAGTGCCATCCTCCCCAAGTCCTCTATCTTCCCAGAGGCTTATTCCTGCTGCCTCTACCTTTATCTACGGTGCTTAGTAGAGATGGTTCTGGCTGACTCAAACTCTATCCATCCTCAAAGCACAGCCCAATCCCAGACTTCTTTTTCCCCAATTTCTAATGCACTGCTCCATCACTCACTTTTCTATTTGTTCCCAGGCTGATGCTTATTCTTTAAAAACCTGCTATCTTCAAAAGTAAAAAGAACCTGATATCATCGAGGTTCTCTTTTTAACCTGAGAAGTGACTTCTCTCGTGTTACTTGAGAACTGGTGATGGTGACAAAATCTGAATAACAGTTCCCCAGATTCCTACCCAAAGCTGGCGTCAGCTCTCTGTCAGTCTTTCCCGACACCCCTCGTTGATAATGCAAACAAAAGGCTTATGTCAGTGCCATATGAAACTTTATTTACACGGCTAGCAGTGTCCATCCCATTATTAAGCACGCAAAAGGGACGCGTCAGTAAACACTCCTCCAACTGAACTGAAAGCGGAACCCAGGGGGAAAGCAAGAGAGAAAGGGATGATTAATTCAAATACCCCTCTCCAGAAAGCTATCGTAGCTCCCCCACTGCCCGCGGAAGCACGCCACACTCCCTCATGGGGCATCAAGGCCCTTCCCAGTTGAGCCCCAGCGTTAGCTCCGGCCACGTTCCTGGCCTTCCCGTCTCCGTACCCACCCCTCCAGCCACTCCCTTAATACGCAGAGCTGCCCAAACCTGGGGGCTCCTTTCATGCTTCTACAATTTTACACACACTGGCCCCCAAACCTGCAACGCTCTCCCCCGCCCCCTAGATCCTTTTCCAAACCCCGAAACGGCTCTCACGACCCTACTCAAACGTCAAGACCCCAACCGGGTCCTACAAGGGGCTCGATGGAGTCAAAAACCGGTCCAATCCCGGCAGAGGATTTGAGTGGCTGACACGACCAGAAGCGTGGCGGCGGGGGGAGGAGCCCGAGCAAACCCTCCCTGAAGTGCTCGTGGACTGCCTTGCTGAGTATTCCCCGCCCGGAGGGCGCTCAACCTGTGGCCTGCCTGGGCCAGGGCAGGTGCCCAGAGAGCTGGGGGAATGCCCAGTGATGGCAGACGAGCCACCGGCGACACCTTCCTGAGATGCCCGCCCATCCCCGGAGACCACGCAGCGCCTCTCACACCTTACCTCAGCCAACAGCGGCGGCAACTCCGCTTTACGGCACTCACAGCAACTGCTGCAAAAGGGGCCTTCAAGCGCGGAGTCGTGCGCACTGGTCTGGTTGGTGGCCGAGGCGTAAGCACATTCGGGAGACTGGCCACCGGCAGGTCTACGGTCCCCGGTGCTTCCTCACCTCCCGAAGTTTACTGAACCCGGAAATTTTCTGGTTTGGGGGATTATGCTTCGTAGCCAAGCTTTTTTTTTTTTTTTTATAATATCTCTTGCCTAGGTAACTACTACAGCAGCGCCCTTGGCGATCTGAGATTTTAGGAGGTAGTCCATGAATTGTAGAGGCGCCCGCTGAGCTGTGCTCCTCAAAGTGTGTGGGTTTGCGAGATAAAATATAGGACGCCAGTTAAATGAATTTCAGATAAGTTTTTAGTGTGTATGCTCTGCAGAGGGATTCAGGAGAACTCTCCAGATTCTGGTTTCGGTACCGTCGGGTGAGACGGGGGATGGAGTGGGAAACAGTCGGGCTCAGTCGCTAAGCTGTGTGGTCGCTAATTCTGGTACGACTGTTTGCGACCCTATGGGTTGTAGCCCGCCAGGCTCCTCTGTCCGTGGGATTTCGCGCGAGAATATTAGAGTAGGTTGCCATCTCCTCCTCCAGGGGATCTTCCCCACCCATGGGTCAAACCCGTCTCTCCTGCATCTTCAGGCGGATTCTTTACCACTGATCCACGTGGGAAACAACTGAGTTAATATTGCTCTTGAGGTTGAGGTGCCTGGGAAACACCCAAGCTCCAGCGAACTGTTAGACTCCTGTTAAATTCTGGAAATACACATTCAGTTCCAGACCGCACTAACTTTTAACTGTAATCCAAAGAATTACTGTAAATGAACACCTATGAATCCGTTTTGACATAATTTTGAAAACTCTAAAGCACTGAACAAATCACTGTAATTTTAAGTTCTTTCTACAAGAATTTCTATTATCAGCCCATGGTGAAAACTGGAAAGACTCTCCTCATATATCTGAGTCGTTTGCTAAACCTTTTCATTTTGAAATCAGCATTTTATAATAGTAGTCGTGCTGGTATGTATAACACATTTATTGTACTAATACCTAATACTGTATATACGTTTTCTTACACCCTTAATTATTTTTAGTGGGTTGATTGGTTTCCAACTTGATGTATGATAGATGCATTTTTGTGCCTTCTAGAAGAATGCCATTATGAGTGCTCAATAATGCACATGGAATCTGAACTGTTTTTTGGAAAAGTATATGTCTTTCTCATTTCCCAGGGTTATGTTCCTTGTAAGTTTCTTACTTTTCCTTGCATAAGTTTCCTGTGTACATACAGATTTATTTAGTATGTAACCAGACAACACCAGTACTGAACCCCAGTTCCCTTGCTTGCTGCTCAAAAGGCTAGTACTCGAGACGAGTGTTAGTGGAAAAGGAAAATTTGCTTTATTCAGGAGGTCCGCAGCCTGGGAAGACGGTGGACTGCTGTCCTAAGGCTGTCTCCAGGTTGCTAGTTAGGAGACAGATACTGTAAAGGCAGTGTGAGGGAGGGAGCAGGATGTGTGACTAGCTTGTGTGTAGTTCCTGGACTGGTTGGCATCAAGGTGAAGTTTCCAGCATCACCAGTCTTCTGTTTTCAACCAGTGTGTGGTCTATGTGCTTGTGGTCAGCAGCTTTCATCTGGTGGGGGCCCGCTTCCTGTTAAAATAACAAGACTGTCAATCAGACCTTTGTATCTTTCAGGGAAACAGGGAGTTTGGTAATTCTGTGTGCCTGGTTTATAGTCTAAATTGTTGCCCGTTTCCTGGCCCAATTGCTTTTCTTTCTTAGTTCAGTTCAGTTGCTCAGTCGTGTCCGACTCTGCACCCCATGGACTGCAGCACCCCAGGCCTCCCTGTCCATCACCAACTCCTGGAGCTTACTCAGACTCGTGTCCATCGAGTCGGTGATGCCATCCAACCATCTCACCCTCTGCTGTCCCCTTCTCCTCCTGCCTTCAATCTTCCCCAGCATCAGGGTCTTTTCGAATGAGTCAGTTCTTCGCATCTTTGTTTCTATATCTTCCCTAATCATTAACTATTAAGCCAGTCTTTTGAGAATCACTGGGAGACTAAAGCTTTTCTACAAACAAGAGGCAGGTGGAGGACATGGTGGGGTGGGGGTGGGGGTGTTGTCTGTCACAGGGAAGGTCCCCTAGGGTCCTGCTCGGTCACAGTCCCCCCTTTTCTTTGACATTCAGTTCTGAAATGGGGAGCAAGAAAGGTTTGGGATAAAGAGGTTAATTATAGTCACCAGAAGAACTGTTTTAGGGGACTCAGTTTTATACAGAGCCCTCTTATTACTTGGACTAGTAGTTAGTAGGTTTATTTAAAAAGTAGGTAACACTCAAAGGAAGGAAGTTAGCAAAGATTCATGGATCACTGGATACAGGTGTTCACCTAAAGGACTGAAGATGGTAAATTTTGAGCATCAAAATGAATAACTGCTATTAACTGAAATACAGAAAATACATAAAAATTCTCGGCTTCACGGTTCCTTACATGTGAAACTCATTAGTCAAGACTGATGATTGCCAGGGCATGAACTCACTACCCTGAAACTTGATAAAGTCATTGAGCATTTATCTTGCCTTTTAGAACAGGATTGCAGTGTAATAAAAATGCTAATGAGAATTCCAACTAATAAAGAATGAATGATAGAACAATCATTGCTACTCCTAGTGAAATAAGAACAACCCTCATCAGCAGAGGCTAAAATTAAGTTGAAATGTTGATGGGGAATTTCTTAATAGATGGATTAGGCTGGAACCCCCTGAACCCACTGATCAATCTTATCATTAACTCTGGGGCAACATCACAGCATGCACTTTCAGATGTGATGCAACAAAGTACACAGCACTACCTATGAAAGATTCTTGCCTAAAAATTGAACCCACATTTAACTCTTGATTTAACAGAGGCTATAGAGAATCGCTCAGAATGTGGAACATTCTACAAGACAAATGCCCCAGTTTCTTCATTAATGGCATTTAAAAGGTGGTGGAGGGAACTAATGCAACATCAGACTTAAGAGACATATGCCCAAATGCAATGTATGGACCTTGTCTGGACCCTGATTTTAAAAAAGCAACCATAAAAACACATTTTTGGCACAACTGAAATTTTAATACGGACTGAGCCATTAGATAATACTAACGGATTGCTGTTAATTTTGCTAAGAATGTTAATAGAATGTGGCTGTGTCATCATCATTGATGTATACTGCAATACTTATGGGTGAAATTTTTTAGAACTTAAAAACTGACAAACATGGCAATATTTTAACAATTAATAAATCTAAATGATGAGCATAAACATGTTCATTATAAATAACCTACTCTTCTGCCAAGTGGCTCAGTGGTAAATAATCTGCCTGCCAGTGCAGGAGATAACGGATTCCATCTTTGGCTCTGGCAGTTCCCCTGAAGAAGGAAATGGCAACTGACTCCAGTATTCTTGCCTGGAAAATTCCATGGACAGAGAAGCCTGGCAGGTTAATTCACTGGGTTATAAAGAGTCAGACACGACTGAGCATGCATGCATGCTTCTGTATGTTTGAAAATTGTCATAATAAATTAACAAGAAAAGGGGAAAGTTATCAGGTTCACAAATGTAAAGTGCATAAAAAGTCTTGTTCCATGTAAAGCTTAAAAAAGACAGTTATAATAGAGGATTACATTAGTCAATCTTTTTTTTAGCCACGCCTCAGGCATTCAGGAGACCTGGTTCTCTGACCAGGGATCTAAACTATGTCCGCTGCAGTGGAAGCACAAAGTCCTAACCACTGGACTTGCAGGGAATTCCCATCACTGGCCAATCTTTTGATTTAAACTATAGTCTTTTTAAATGTGGACCAACTGACTAGCTTTTCTTACATAAACCAGAGACATAATGGATCATCTATAGTTTCTGGCATATTTCTTTAAAGTGGACCAGGAACTTAAAAGATAGAAGTGAAGGAATTCAGAGTCCTAGATTTGTATTTTTCTTTTTTGCAATCCTCTATCTATAATTTACGATTATCTTGGATACAACTAACTCGTCAGCAACTTGATCATCATCACTGAAGTTCCCCCACCTTCCTGATAAGTAACTTTTCATACTTGAATTTCATTGGTTTATGTAATATTTAAATTATACAACAATGCCATTGGCACAAGTAAGTTGGGGAACAAACAGCTAACTAGAGGTATACATACCATTCAGCTGGCAGGAGCAGTACTTCTGCAGGACACCAGAGGGGAGCCCAGCCGTGATCCTTCAACTCGCTGTGAATCAGTCACTATACTTTAACCTGATTTGCCAGTCCAGTTAGAGGAGGGGTACAAGGATTGGTAAAAAACGGTCCCTATTATTAGCATATCCATCATTTAAAAATCATTTAGATGCAGTAGCACATACACATCCTGGCCCACTCTTAACATGGTGGGGTCTGGGGCAAAAGGGTAGAAATGGAAGCCAATCTCGATTTAAGTGTCTAAATACGTAAGAGTCGATCATATACACATAACATATAGACTTCTACCTTGATAAATATTCCTTCTCAAGAAACAGAAATCTAGGTTCAAGATTGAATTCTCAGACACATGCTAGAAAGCGACAACAGGAGAACCCGGTCAGCCTGCTCTCCCTGCAGTCCCCTGGGACTGTTTCCTTTTAGCCTCTAGCTGCAGCTTGCCCAAGGGTCCTGGAAGCATGAAGGTGGACATTCCAGTCTGCACATCCAAACTCCTGAACTGCCTCCCCTTGAGTCTAGTGGTATATGTCTGTAGTGCAGAATGTCTTCAGGATGGATTGGGGAAGAGGCCTGCATGTGTTATGGAAGCCAGCTTTGGGCTGAGGATTATGGGATCCTGGCTATTGAGTTCATAGTGGGTAGTGGAACTGACTAGGAGTGGACACAATTCCTCACCAGCTTCACTTGTTCATTCTGTGGAAAGGTACAGCCTGAGACTGAGGATCAGGGCAGGGACCCCTTCTTGCCCAAGTCTAAGTGTACATGCCCATCCCTATGGTATCATGTTACATTACTGTTGTGCTTGCTTTTTCCATTTCATGGTGTCATGAAAACCCTCCCATTAATAACAGTATCAGCTGTGTAGGGTTACCTGGAGTCACTATCTAATCCCACAACCTTGTGCAAAATGGGCATACACATACTCCTAGTACCATGCAGTGTAAAGGTAAAATGAGGTTAATAAGGGACAGATGAGCAGAAAAGTGGAATGTACACAATTTCCTGAGTTCTTGTCCCAGAGATCCAGTCAGGCACATTAGGAGTGGTATATCAAAGAAAAGTTTCTCTAACTGAGGAAGCAAATTCCAAAAATGGTCTATATAACATTTGGGGAGGAGGGGGCATGCAGAGTATGTCTACACAAGTATACAACAACCTGTGCAGCAACATAGAAAAGGGATGCCTTCGGAGCCACGGCAGTGCACGGCTGCCCATTAGGTTGTTTGTGTTCGCTCTCATAATGCTGCAGTGTGCGTGTGCATGCATGCTAAGTGACTTCAGTCACGTCCAACTCTGTCACCACATGAACCTTACCCTGCCAGCCTCCTCCGTTCATGGGATTCTCCAGGCAAAAATACTGGAGTGGGTTGCCATTTCCTTCTCCAAGGGATCTTCCCAACCCAGGGATCAAACCTAGGTCTCCTGATTTGCAAGGCAGACTCCTTACCATTGCAGAAAGACTCCTTATGTATGTATTTAATACCTTGATATTACTTGTTCTCCAGAAATGCTGTGCCCATTCACACTCCATCTTCTGTATGAAGGTATTGGTTTCTCAGCATCTTTGTCACACTCTTCTCCTTGTGACTCAAAACTATCTAGTATCTCTTCATTCTCCTCTTGGTAAAAATGATCTTAGTTACAAGAGCTCCAGCCTTGTGTGGTCATTGACTGGTTTTCTTTTATCTCCCAAACTGGTTTCAAGTTAGAATATAAATTTTAAAAAATCTTAGCTTCTGATTCTGTCTTAGCTACCAAAATGTAATCCAAGATGTGACAACTTCCAAAGACAGAAACTAAGTTCCTGGTTTATATAATAGTTACTCACAGCATCCACAGCTGCACTGTACAAGCAGCAGCTATTAATATTAGCAAGATGTGGCTCTTTACATTTAAGTTAAAATGAAAATTTTAGTTCCCTAGTTGAACTAGCCATACACATTTAAGAGGCTTACTGTGTTGGACAGCCCAGGTTACAGAACGTTCCGTCATCGCAAACAATTGCGTTGAATGGCACTGCTCTAAAATATAAAGCTTTGGAGGTAAAATTTCTAATGGCTTTTTTAACTCTCATGCTCAACAGCACACTGTAGATATTTAATAATAAGAGTGGATAAAATGCAAGCACTGAAGCAAAAGAAAGCAAGAAAAGAAAGTTTAATTTTTAGATGAGATATTCCAGGTGTTTTTTTAAGAATTTGGTTATTCTATACAGAACATACAATCATTTCAACATACAAGTCACTCTACCTTGAATACTCTATTTTGAAATTTCAAAAACCATTTTAAAAGCTTTGTCTTGTTTCCAAAAAAAATGAGGCAAAATGCTTATTATAAACACTAATTTTCAGCACTGCGTACACTGTAAGTAGTTCATTAATGTTCTTCATCTTTAACTTAAACGTTAAACCTGAGGAATTAGAATTTTTACTATCAGAACTGCATAGCAAAATCATGTCCAAATGATAGAAAAACCAAATAATCTGTGGATCAAGATAATTTGTAAGCCACTTAATTCAGTTTAAAGCAAAACATGTCAGGAGAGATAATAAATGATATCCAGGTTAACAGAGTTTTGAAATGCGTCATTGTATTTTTAAAAATGATAATGCAACAAAAGTCATCAAATGTTTTAAAAGGTCACATACACCTTATATCATCTATCCAATGACAACAAACTGTTGAACCAACTAAAGCTGGTATTTTGCAGAAGAATTATTTAGGCCAAATTCAGTCTTTGCATGTGGCATTGAGCAGTCATGAAAGTGCAAATGCCTAGATGGAAACACAGCTTAAGTCATTTATTTATGCTACTATTCTACTCTGACACACGTTAATGCTACGGGAGAAATTTTAAGTTCTAGAAGTCTTGATATAGAGTACACCTTGATGAGAAAATACAAAAAAGGCCACAAGTCATGCATAAACTAAAAATGTTAAAGGATATTTTAATCAGGCTTTAAAAAAAAAAAATCAGGTTTCATGTCCTGGTGATACCACTTTAAGCACATGCTTTATCAAAGTAAATGGCATCTAGAGGTATCCAAACACTAAAGTCCATTATTAACTAAAAGTAATACTTCACATTTACATAGCATTTTACTGTGGTTGAATCTATTTCATATACTCCATATCATTTTATTCCTCACAACAGCCCTGTGAGGTAGGCTGAACAAGTTACATTGTTGTAAAGGCAAGTTACATTGCCTTTATGTAAGGCAATGGAAGCCCAAAGATGATTAAGTGATTATGTAGAGATCACAGATATAGTATATAGTAGAGCTAAGGTGATTAATTTTAAATACTTTAAAAAAAATTAAGCCAAAATATTTTTTTATATCTAGAAAATTTAAAGACTAGTGGTTTTTAATACAAATCATTTCAAAACTTTAGCTATTATATATCTTATTGTATGAATTAGTTATAAATTTGATTTTAAAGAGTCTCCCCTAAAAGGCAAATTAGACTCAGTGCTTTGGTATCTTAAGAGATTTTGGAAATGTTTAAAAAAAAAAGCATTCTCATAACCCTTAAGCTCTCCAACAAGTTCTAACACTAACAAAAATATCTTTTACCAATCACTTAGAATAAACTTAAGTAGCTCCAAGGCAAAGCAAACACATTCACCTACGGGCTGTCCTATATACTGTGAAATCCTCTACATGTTCATCCCCAAGAACCAACTTATTTTGATTGGGTACCGTTAAGAAAATATACCAATTTAAACTAACACAGCCCCAATGATTACAAATCAAAAGTCAGTATACCTTACACTGACTCAGAATTAACAAACACTGTTTTAATTTGAATGTGAGTAGTCTGAGGAGAAAAGTACTATGGTAATCTCTGATATTTATAAGTCAATACTAACCTTTATATGGCATACCCAACAATATATTTTCAACAAAAACATATACCAAGTGTGGTCCAGTTAACCTCCAAATTACTCAAAAAGCTTATTTACATTAATCAAATATTCCAGGTAACAAAGCTATCATATGTGACATGAGCATCACAAGTATTTGCATAATATGAATACTGTACGATATACACAAAACTAAAACTATGCTGACTACGAGGTAATCTTTCTGCAATGATTAAGGAAAATTCATGATCACTTATAAATGCTCCAGCACTGGCATTATGAAATATAAATTTAAAATAACTTTATGGTTATTTGGATGCCGAGTAAATTTATGCTGACCATTCACTTCCCTAAAATAATATATTCAGTGTAAAAATAAAATCAAGGAAGAAACTTTTTCAGACACATCTTACATGACTACATATAGGTGAACCATTTTACATGCAGTTAATTATAATTTTTTATAAACTCTTAACATTTACTTTTTAAAATTCCTGACTGATTAGCAAAAAATTGTTTTTAAGATGCAAACTTTGTCATACCTCTCAAAAGCAGCAAAAGTACTGTACGCACAGAAAATCAAACTTCACAAAGTTAGGAAATCTGAATAGAAAGTATGACTGCCATCCCAGACTTAAATATTTGTTACATGAATTAACCAATGAATGAATACTGGTCTTATAAATATGGAGTTTTCGCCAAAAGAATTATCATGATGATTTTTAAATACAGTCCTTAGTCTGTTTAGCTCAGATTCACATATTTTACGGAAGTCTACACTGTCCCTTCTAAAATGAATACTTTGAAATAATCATTTTACATATGTATCCTTTTCCAATTTTCCCCATATGTTTCCAAAAGACATTAAGTAACTTAATAATTTTATGTGATTTAAAGTATATGGAGGAAAACTAATCATTCTGGGTAAGTCATGAGATAAGAGTATCTTAGCCTAACTAAATCATTTTATTCTTTGTATCACTGAGGATCAGCACAAAAATTCAAATTATATGTAATACTGCGCATACTTTTAATTTCATAAGGGAGCAAATAAAACCAAGCCAGTATGTCCCTTCAGATGACAATATGGAGGAGAATGATCGCAGGACAAATCTGATGAAGTCTAGCTGTCCAGCAGCAGTCCATGGTTTGTCAGAATAGTACAGATGCCATCAGTGAAACCCCTGGACAGACAGGCACACCTTTAATACTTTCAAATTGTCTACCTACACCTGGAACATTCAAAGAATTACTGTATATTAAATTTCTTTGTGCATTTAGTTAGTAAATATTTGGTATGCACATATTTACGAAAAGTTAAAGATGTATGTGACACAGTCAGTCCAAAGAGTCAAAACGAAATGTAAAAAAATTCTTTTTTCTAAAGTGCTTAAGGCAACTCCTTCATTTTTTATCCAGTTTACTACAACTGGTTTGAGATTCAACTGCTAAAAGAGAAAGGCAATACTAAGTGTATATTTTTATAAAACATAATTTTTTACACCTGTGGTATATCCACTACCATCAACCTCTCATGCATTTCTTTTGTAGAAAGCAATCATGTTTGACCTGTTAAAATAAAGAGTAAAAAAAAAAATGTTTTAAAGAGTATACCAACTTTTCATGTCTTCAATTGAGCAAAAAATCTCAGTATTTTTTAATTCCAATGCTAATGAGAATGTTATATATTGTGTCAAGTTAACAGTTACCATAATTTGAGACTATGTAAATAGGCACTATAGTTGATTATTTTCTAGTTTGAAAATGAGAGTGACGAACTTCCTCCAATTTAACTTCACACAAATAAACTTACATGAATTAAGCTAAAAGCCCACATATTTTGTTTCTGTTTTTTTGGGAGGGGGGACCTTTAAGAAGCAGCACAGTAACAAAAAAAAAAAGAAGAAGCACAGTAAGAGGGAAACCCCAGATTCTTATTTTGAAGTATAACAGTATTACTTCAAATGAATTTTCCAAATGATACTAGAATATTTTATACAAAGGGTTTGAAATGATGGGATGAGCACACACAAGAATCATATGCACTCCTCCAGCCCCTGACTAGTATTTTCCTTTCCTCATGCCCCTGCAATAGAACTCCTCACCAGTATAACATAATGGTCTCTGGTTTAAGTATCAGTTGACAATGCATGGGCCATGGAGCGAGAGCATGCTTAGAGGAAGAAGGCACTTAAAATTAAAAACAGGATATAATTATACAGACATAATAGTAAAAGTTTTTATACAAGAACTTCTGGCTTTTTCATGTCATTTTTGTTAAAATATACGTGACTGTTCACATAAAGCAGCTCCACCACTAACTTGCTGCTTTCAGGTTTAACTCTTATGAAAGAGAATTATAACTTCCTGTTTCCTTAGGTCCTGCAATAATCCTGCTGCAGGAAAGAAATCTGAAATTTCTTTCAAAATCTCTAGGAAAAACAAAAATCAAAATTATATTTATTTTGAGAATCAAAACAATATCTACTTGACAATGTCATACTCTAAACTGCCTTATGGTTTTTAAAATACGTTATCAGACAACAGTATAGATATGACTCTCCTCTGGAAAAATGAATACCCAGTTTGAACAAGACTCATTAGGTTTGTTTTACAAAGAACAAAACATCCCATCAGTAAGCAATAAACTTTAAGAGAGAATGAGCTGTTCCTATCCCACAGGTCTTTCTATAGAAAGTAACTCAAATGTACACAGCAATGGTCACTTCTAGGGAGAAGGTATCATAAGAGAATATACTTAAAATATGAATGGAAGAATCTCTACGTGAGAAAGTAACAGCTTCAAAAATTAAGGAATATACAAACCCAGACCTCTTGAAAATGCTCAAGGAATTCTTAAATACTGTAATGACAACTTCCAATTTGGCTCAAAGAACTTGTTACAAATTTTAATCAACTTTAAAAATATAAATGCTTTGCTCAATAATCATGGGTGTTACTCATGGTTTAATACATCTTCCCTACGTACGGTAAAGATCACTGTATGTTGATTTTTGGAAGCATTATGACCCTTTAGAAAGCAAATGAAGTAGCAAAATACTGAGAGAAAAATAACCTCTGAATAGGTATGTCTGAAAAATTCATGTGCCAAATAAGTGAGAGATTAACATAGTTTTTTCAAAACTCTTGTTTTTAACCATTCCATCTTATTAAAAAGCAGATACAGATGACTTCAGTAAAGAATAGTTTTAGGTACCTCCTTTTATAACCTATTCCTTATAGATAAAACTTGAATAGGTAGTGTTTTCTACTTTCTATATAGCTTTAATGATCTTTCACCTTACTAAAAATGTTAAAACTAAGCATAAGTATTGCCAGTTATTACACCAAATTCAAGTGGGAATTTTACCAAAACTATTAAAGATTCTATTAAACTAGACAAAAAAATCAGAAAATATAAAGCTTTAAAAAATCTTACCCATTATTCAAGATAATGGAAAGAAGTCTAATTAAACAAGGTAATGTATAAAGAATATCCCTTTGCAGCAGGTAAAAACTGAAATTTGAGCAATTTAAAGCTATTATATCTAGAAACACTTCCTATCCACTCTCTATTTTGAGTTATAACCGAAAGAGAAATATCACAATATTTGGAAAGAAGAAAATGATACACAATCTAGTTGAAAAACAAAAGACAATAATTTAGCAAACCTCAACTTATTTATAAAAGGGGAAAAATAAACTACTGTAAGAAAACCTCTCTAGCATGCCCAATCAATTTTTTCAGTTTTTTTGAAAACCATGAAAGACTGTACAGTTTTAAAGCTTCAGTGTAAGAATTAAATAATAGATAGTGATGACATTAAAAAAAAGGAACGTATAGAGGAAAGAAGATTTAAATGCTTTTCCCTCCAGCCCTAGGGCTACCACATGTAACTAAACATTTTAGAATAGTCAAAGTAATCTAAGAAACACAAAAATGAGTTTCTATGTAACTACTTAAACACTGCCTTTTTTTCCCATTTCCTCTTCAAAACATTAGTTTCTTGCTCGATGTCTGCTTGCTTCTCTGATATCACACAGCAGGCTCCTGGGACTGTTTCCTACTAGATGCCTGATGCGAACAGATTCCAGACCTTAGAGCAGAAGGTAGCAAAACTGACTTCCACCACTTGTAAACTGCTGTGATTAGTAACTGCATGGAAAAGGCCACCCAATCAAAAAGGAGTGGGGGAAGATAAACATATTCTGAGTAGGCATTACTGAGCAATATTGTTTAAGCTGCTAGTGGAGCCAGTCATTCCATTTTCATTTTTCTGAAGTGTCCTCACAGCACTTGGAACCTGCATCCCAGTACTCAAAGAAAGTCCGCCACACCAAACCTAAGGAAGGACAGAAACACAGCTGCAGTCAGACTTCAGATTAAGGGGAAACTTACAGGATGCTTGTATTTTTCCAACTAAAAGGCAAAAAATCAGTGAACACAAGTGAACATCATCAAATTTCAAACGGAAAACCTTCGTATGTGAACTGAGGGGAAGTAGAAAGGCCAACTCAAGGGTCTTTTAGAACCATATTGGCCAAAGGAAGTCTTATGACAGCAGAACCCACTGGAGCTACACATGAGAGGAAAATAAGGGCTGTAGAAAGTTAGAGACTTTGGCTAAATTCATCCATCATTACTGATACTAAAGTTCACAACCAAGAGAAGTACACAAAGACTCATCTTTCTTATCCCAATTACTGCCTTAGATTTTGATAATGGGCTGTGACCTGAAACTATAGGAATCTAACACCCCTCTGTTAACAGAGTAATCCCATTAGCTTCATCCCTAACTTGTTAACAATAAGAACCCTTTTATAATTCTCTAAGATATCTGAGAAAAACCAAATGGTAATATCCAAATACACTTGCCATATTCTATTATCATAAATGTGAATGAGTTTATGAATGATAAAACTGCTTCACTTGTGTTGAACAAAGCAGCTATCATTCAGTAAGGTAAATGGTAACTGATATGGAAAAGAGCCAGGAGAATTAAAATGTGAATATATGAATCATTTAAAGTATCATCAACTGCCATGTATATATCAGACAAGCTTAAATTAAAGCAAGGGAGGTTCTAGAAATTTTTATGTATTCCCACCTTCAACTATATCCTAAGTATTCAATATTCACTCAGTAACTATAGTATAGTTACAAAGAATTTGCAGACTGTGAAACGCATGGCTATATAATTAACATTCCAAAATTTTTAAACTTTAAGGTTCAGTAATGATAACTGTTAAAATACAAGAAAATATGGTACAAATGAACCTATCTATGAAACAGAAACAGAGTCCCAGACATAGAGAACAGACTCATGGCTGCCAAGGAGGATGTGATTAGGGAAGGGGCAGACTGGGAGGCTGGGGTGAACAGATGCAAACCATTACATAGAGAAGAGATAAACAACAAGATCCTACAGTACAGACAGGGAACTATGTCCAATATCCTGGGATAACCATAATGGAAAAAAATATAAAAAAGAGTGTGCAGAGGAATTTCCTGCTGGTCCAGCGGTTAGGACTCAGCGCTTTCACTGCCAGAGCCCAGATGCAACCCCTGGTCAGGGAACTAAGATCCTGCAAACTGTTTGGTCAAGAAAAAAAAAAGTATATGTGTGTACACCTGAGTCACTGTGTTGTACAGAAGAAATTAGTACAACACTGTAAATCAACTATATTTCAATAAAAAATAAATTTTAGAAATACAATTATGAAACTATTATTTTATTGAAAATTAAGTGATTTACAGAAATATTTACTCAAAATATCTAGCACAAAAGTGGAAGAGCAGATCAATGGAGAAAGGTTAGTCTCTTTGAGAAAGTGGCACTGGAACATGTGGATATCCATATTCAAAAAAACAGATCTTAAACTATACTCTGTATCACATATAAAAATTAACTCAAAACGGATCCAAGACCTAAATGTAAAACTTTTTAATTATAAAGCTACAAGAAAAAACAAAAGAAAATATCTCTGTGACCTTGAGCTGGGCAAAGCATGACATTAACAAGAATATTTATACAAGTTCTATTTGTAAATGTCTCCAATGGGAAAGCACTCAAGTAGTCAACTAAATTAGAATGTGTAAATAAATCCTGATACAGGCATACAATGAAAAACTATACATATCCATATAAAACTATGTGAACTACCATACTGTGGAAGAACATGCATAAATCTCACAAACGCATGTTGAGCCCAAAAGATATTGCATGATTCCATTTATACAAAGTTGAAAATGAGGCAAATGAATTTATGGTATTAAAACTCAAGACAGTAATCACCTTTGGAGGAGGGCCATTAGAGGCTGGAAATGGGCACAATGTTCCACTTCCTGACCAAGATGCTGGTTACAAAAATGAGTGCAGTCCTATGAAAACACTAATCAAACTACATGTTTATGATTTGCAGACTTTTATGTCTTAACACTTACTTCAGTAAAATATACCCAAAACATACAATCACAGACTTAGGAGAGGTAGACTGGGGAAAGGAGGAGGAATATAAGAAAAAAATAAGATATTGTGTTTCCCCAAATAGACAGCATAGATATTCTTCTTAAAGTTGCCAAAACAAATATAAATTAGGTACTAACCATGAAACCAGGTAGTACTGGCTGAGTAAATTTTGCCTTAAAGGAATACAACAACTGTTTTGAGTTTGCATCATAGAAAGAAAGTTGACCTAAAGGGAAGGAGAAAAAAAGTCTGGTTTATTATTGAAAAAAAAAAATTAACATCTAATTAAGTCTAACATATAATCATGCATAAAAGTAATAACCCAATGAATATTTTGGCATTCATCATTTTGTCACTTTGAGGACTGGACTCAGGAATTCTCACTTGAAAATCAGTGGTAAACATGTTTAAGAAAAAGCACCCCCCCAAAAAAAAAGAAAAGAAAAAGCCCAAATCCACTTTTCTTTCCCTGGTTTTTAAGATCTCCATAGCGCTTTCATAATCTGGCACTATCCAATTATTCAATTATAGACTTCTCTTTTTTACCATTATTTAACAAATGGTTCCCTTAGCCCAGTAAAAACCATGGTTATTTCTTCCTCCTTTTTTTTTTTTTTCACTATAACCAGCCTTTCCACTCAATCCTATCACCATTTAAGGTGTACTCTATTAGACTTTGTCCTCTAATTACCTAAAGCCATACTCATACCCTAAATCTCTAAAATCATGGTATAATTATCACTGCTTCAGTTTTAGTTCTTTTTTAAGGTCTCCTGACAGTCTGTCTTTCAACAGTGATCATGTAACTAAATCACAGTCCTTCTGACCACCTAGCTGTCCAACCTGAGGACACCCTTACAACTGTTATCATTTCTTCAACCTTTTCTCTCATGACTATTCTCTTGGTTTGTTTCTTAATCCTGAGGATATCTTCTGTTTCTTTTCCTCCTATTCTAAATGTAGACGTTTGTCCAGGATCTTTTCTCTCTACAAGGTTCCCATAATAAATCAGCTGCCACTAAACAGAGAAGAAAAGTACTAACATTATGTCTACTAGAAAAGAAACTAACATTATGTCTACTACTTATATAAACTACTTCAAAATACCAAGCAACCTATATGTGATCACAAAGTTAGTGCACAGAAGAACAATAACGCTTAACGGTTCTGTGCAACATTCAGTGGCCATCCTGTGATGCCATGTAACAAACATTCAGCTTCAGCTAAGTAATGCCACATGGCTGTCCTGCTGGTATCTCATCTTTCCTCAGGATCCTCTATGCTCTCTACTGTGTTGATGGCATGATCATCCTTTTGATCACACTGGATGGAACCTCAGCCCTCTTCAGTTCCTCTTTGTCCCTTCCTCCAATCCATATTTTTAGTACCCAAGTCCTGTGAATTCTACTTTTACACCATCAAATCCATTCTTCTCGATTCCCCACTGCTCAGGCCTCTCTTACCACTAATCACTTANAGATTGAAGGCGGGAGGAGAAGGGGATGACAGAGGATGAGATGATGGCATCACCGACTGGATGGACATGAATTTGAGTAAGCTTCAGGAGTTGGTGATGGACAGGGAGGCCTGGCATGCTGCCGTCTATGGGGTCGCAAAGAGTCGGACACAACTGAGCGACTGAACTGAACTGATGTAAAGCACTTGCCAAGCAATAAGGACATAATACTTAACAAAACAGACATGGTCTGTCTATATTACTTAAAGACCACCTTGAAAAGTCTTCCTCTCTCAGTATTTTGCAACCTCTTCCACATTTAACCATTTATTCTCTAATATGTCTAAAACTATATTATCATCATATAACCACAGTTTTCTAAAATAAACAGAAGCCCCCGTTCAATTACTTAAAAAAGACTAGCTTATTATTATTTTTCAAGGCCCTCAGAATCTGATCCCATCCTACACTACAATGTGTTTCTATACCCTATGCTTTAGGTTAACAATTATACTTCTTACCATCCTTAAGGAATCTTTTTTTTTTCTTAAAGATTAAGTATAATTAAAGATTCCTTAAGTATCTTTAATTATCTTTAAGGAGTTACAAAGTATGGGAAAAGAGACAGAAGAAGATAAGCAAATGCTATCTTGATAGTTTAAAAAGAAAAAAATGTATTGATATTCCAATAAGTTTACTATTTATCCTGAGGAAAATTATTTATGAGTCTAAGTGAGTAAATTTTTAAAAATGCAGCAAAACTGACATGTCATCACTAAAAGTAAATCAAACCAAAGTCAATTTTTTTCCTTTTTGAATAACCAGGTTGATACTTCCTGGAATTCTTTGGACATAATGTTACTTAAAATTGTAAAACTTGGTTTTATTAGCTTTAAGTGTCAACTTGGAGTGAGGCGTTTAGGGAATTACTTTTGTTCCCTACTTCAACAGTACTTCATCAAAGTGTTATATTTAGATGACAGTAGACAAGACATTTATCAATTACCTAACTCAAAAAGCTTAAAGATAAACACCAAGTTAATTTTTAGATGATCTTAAGAGGAGGGAAGATTGGCAAAATCTATTAAGATGAAACTTAAGGACAAATACAGTGTTCTTCATTTGAGTTATGAACAGCAGGGAAACACCTTTACACTGCCTAACATCAGAGGAAAAAGATAATCTGCCAGAACTCAATGGAAAAAGATCTAGTGGATTAGGTGGCTACCAGCTCAGTACTGACCTACAGTGCTGTTAAGTCCTGTTACTAGAAATCATGCTGCCAAATCACTAATCTACAGTGGTCAGAAGTTGTGTGTTCTACTTTGAGAATCAATCTTTAAAATATATATAGACAGTATACAACCACAGGTGATAATAAAGGTTTGGAAAAATTAAATTAAAAGGAACAGCTAATGGTACAGAGAATGTACAGTCTGGAAAAACAGGGAAAGAGAAGCAATGTTAGTTTTTAAACAAATAAGGATTATAATGTAAATATGAATTGGGGAACATAATTTTGTGTTTCTTCAGATGACAAGACTTAACATCAACAGTCTTAGAAGTTACTGAGAGACAAAATGAGTTGACTTAAGAAAAACCTTCTGATCAAATGTCATCCCACAGTGGAACAGGCTGCCTTCTAAGACCGAGCTTCACACAGAAAGGCTCAAGCACAGGACTGGCGACTGCTCACAGAGATGATGCAATAAGGAAATCACACTCTATGGCAGAAGGAGTGGGTAATTTCTAAGGTCTATTTCCCTACCATTCTTAGACCGCTCGGCCACGCTACCTATTTCCCTACCATTCTTAACAGTTAACAAAACAAGCTAAGGGAGGAATTAAAATGGGCATAAGACATTTTAATGCTCATAACTAAAATTAGCAACATCTTCTTTTCAGACTTACTTAGTATATTATAGATGAGTGCCTTTGTGGGCCTGCAAGCAGACATCACACGCTCTTTCAGTCAACTATAGACCTGAAGCTATGTTTGTGATCAAATCCTAGTAGGTCAAAACATCCTTACCACAATACTAGTGGAAATTCTGTACAGATTATTACTATAGGAAAGCATGGGCTTCTCTGGTGGCTCAGAAAGAAGAATCCATCTACAATGTGGGAGACCTGGGCTCGATCCCTGGGTTGCGAAGATTCCCTGGAGGAGGACATGGCAACCCACTCCAGTATTCTTGCCTGGAGAATCCCATGGACAGAGATGTCTGTCAAGCTATAGTCCATGGGGTCGCAAAGAGTCGGACATGACTGAGCAGAGTAATGAAACACAATGATGGTGAAATGACTCAGGAGAAAATCAGCAAACTTACCCCCATCAAAATCACAAAATACACCTATTCTTTCAGGAACAGCAACATCCAAGGCTTTGACTTTATTATTATGCTTTGCTGCAAATGTGTTCTGTAGCCAGTTGTTCACATGGATACACCAACTAGTGTTTGTCTTTCCTAATTGGTCAAATTTCCCCAAAGTCTTGTACGCTACTCCCACACTGTAGGATTTACAATCCTTCTGGGCCTTGACCTCCCAATAATGTTGTCCACTTTCAATAGCGGTGTCTCCTACAAAAGATTAGAAGGTAAATTTAACTCTTACCTGTTTCTTATGACTTACAGAGTTTTACGTATATTTGGTCCCACAAAATGGCACCAAAAAGTCTGATTCAGGAGAATAATCATGTTAACACAGACACTAAATGCAGAGTATCTGCTATAATGACTTGTATGTTTACTAACTTCTCTGAATATAAAAGGTTTCAGAACTTTTCTTCCTTATTATCCCCATAAGAGTTAATAAATGTGGAGCACTACATAAACTGAAGTAGAATTTAAAACGTATCAATAAAAACATAATTTCAAAACCTACCAAAGCAACTAGGCTTCAAGAGGGAGAAATTTTGGCAAATATTCATTCAATACACAGGCAGCCACGCCATCTCTGGGTAGAAAGTTCACCCATGTGACTGTGATGCTTTTAACCTGAGATAATGAAGAATTATTATGTTTATCCTACCCAACACTGTGTACGATTCTCCCGTAAAACGATCTCTGCTGCCTCTTACTGCTGGTGGCCTGGAGCCTACAGATGTCCGTTTAGGGGATGGGGTACCACTTCTATATAAACAGGAACAAAAAGAAAAAGAAATATTCTATGTTGTACATGTTTCACAAACTAAAATTACAGATAAAAGGAAACTTTGAAGAGCTTTCTAATCATGCTGTGCAAAAAGCAAGATTTAATTTTATTTGAATTATTTACTGTTTAACAGAGTTGTCAATTATAACACTTACATGTAAGAAGCCATCAACACAAAGCAAGCTAAAAACACTAATACCATGCAGAGAAAGCAAGGCTTGTACAAATAATACACAGTTGGAATATGAGACAACGCCAAAATGGGACAAGACAAAAGGGGAAAAAGAACCCAAAGGGGGAATAAAGAACTGCAGAAAGACAATGGATTATACATAATTTCTTGCAGTTAAATTTAAATTAAAAGCAAGTCTTATTTTAGGAAAAGAAATGATTTATAATACTTGACATTATTCTGTGCATAGATTTGGGTAATTGCTATTTTTCTTTTTAAGATTTATCATAATCAAACTAAATAACTTTTTTATTTTCATAAAGTGAAGTTGTTCAGTCACGTCTGACTCTTAGTGACCCTGTGGACTGTGTCCATGGTATTTTCCAGGCAAGAGTACTGGAATGGGTTGCCATTTCCTTCTCCAGGGGATCTTCCCAACCCAGGGATCAAACCCAGGGTCTGATGTAGGCAGACGCTTTACCATCTGAGCCCACCAGGGAAGTCTTTTTTATTTTCATAGGCAGTAGGTATTTTTGTTTTGTATCTTTTCTTCTTAAAAAAGATAGCAATTACCCAAACTCATGCACAGAGTAATATCAAGTATTATAAAGCATTTCTCCTACAAACATGGACAAGATACAACTTGACCTCCCTTTTTCAAATTATATGATATAGTAAACTGGACAGCATTAAGGCCTTTCATTAACTCCCCAAAACTCAAAACAGATCAAACCTCTAAAGATGTTTAAAAATTAACATTTCAATTATATCAAACTGCTGCATTCATAAAACAAAGAATTTATAACTTACCAACAGTAAAGAAATAAAGAGGAAGCATGGCAAAAAGAAAAACAGATGTAAATATTGAGAATGGCAATTTAAATTTCAAAGAAAAGTTAAATAAGGAAAAGTCTTCCGTTGGAGCATTCTAGAATTCCGACCCTGAATACATTTTTGCAAGAAGTACAACAGTTATTATTGTCTTAAAGCAAACATGATTCCACCCTTTAAAGATACCTCAGTCACTCAACTGTCTCAACTAAGGCTCTTTGTTATCTCTAATCTGGGCTGTTTTATCAGCTTCCCAGATGATCTCTGTTACCCAAGTCATTTGTTCACTGTTACAAGATAAACCTAACTCTGATTTTCCTACTCTAAAATCTTCAAGTACTTCTTTACTACCTACAAAGAACTTAGCATGGCATTTCAGGTTCTTCTTGATTTCGTCCCACTCCGCTTTTCCGGGTAACTCAGCGGGTAAAGAACCCGCCTGCAATGCAGGAGACCCCTGGGTCAGGAAGATCCCCTGGAGAAGGGATAGGCTACCCACTCCAGTATTCATGGACTTCCCTGGTAGCTCGGATGGTAAAGAATCTGCCTGCAATGTGGAAGACCTGGGTTTGATCCCTGGGCTGGGAAAATCCCCTGGAAGAGGGCGTGGGAACCCACTCCAGTATTCTAGACTGCAGAATCCCCATGGACAAAGGAGGCCAGCAACTAAGCACACAGCACCGCTTTTCCAGCCTTCTCACCTCTGGACAGCAATATCCAGCTAAAAGTAGCAGCTCAAGGGTTGCTTAAACTCAGGCAATCTGCTTCAGTGCCTTTTCCCTTCGTCACTCGTTCTCTCACTGCCAAGTCCAAATGCTACACATTCTCTCACTTACTTGAGAACCAACTTAAATACTAATCCACTAATGAAGGTCTCCCAGATCCTACCAGGCTAAGTAACCCTTCTGAGGAGCCCACCTCTAGGCCAAAACTCTGCGTATGATCCTTCAGGCCTAACCAGAAGTAATTATAAATGCTTGTTTTCTCCACACCAGACGTGGTACATTGCGAGTTCACTGCAGGTTTTGGAGCGAGTTGCAATCCTTCTTGCAACCCCTTGCTCATACGCATGTCTGCATTCCTAGATTAGGTACCTGTATTCAGAGGTTCCATTACAGGAGGGGGCCCTGAGCTGAGACCCTTTCCAGCTGCGTCTTCAGAGACCTCCTTAAAGGGGGAAGGGGTCGGGGAGCAGCCTGAAGACACTTTTCTTCACTCTTGTCTCAATACTTTCCCACTCCTAACCTTTCCCATTTCCTTGGCCTCGGGTTCACAAAACAGGAGAAGGCTTTTGTTTGGGTCGCCCTGGGCAGCAAGATGATCCTCAGATACTTACCATCTGCCATCTGCTCTGGTGTACCTAACCCTCACCCTGGGCCATTCTGCTGTGAAAATGGAACACTGGGCGGCCCAGCACTCCTTCCTGTGGGCCTCTTACTTATACGGCCACAGTAAGTGAACAAAGTCTTGACTGTTACTTTCAGTTTGGCTCATTGTCCTAATTGACCACTTCAGTAACTGGCAGCTCAGGAAATCTTTCTTCCTCCAAACTCCCTGATTCACACATACTACTAAACACAATCTCTATCTCACATTATTATTATTTATATAGAGAGATACAGCTCATCTACATAAGTTAGGGCAAATTCCTTGAAGGCAGGGACCATGTTTATCCCTATAAACCCCACAACATTCAGTTGACATCTTACAGTAAATAAATATTTATGGAAAGAATAAATGTATGCAACATTCCAGAAGTAGCCCACATACAAAATACTCTTAAAGGGACGAGAGAAAGAGAAATAACATGATGAAATTATAAACATAAGTAGTCTAAAAATCTCCAAATGACCAAACTTCACTGATCCTATCAAATCCAGCAGTATTTTACAATTTCTAATACACCAACTATGAATCACTTCCACCAATAATAAGCAAATAAACTGGAAAAAAAGAGAAGACAGTAATTTTGAAAAGAGAACACATTCTAGTTTCTAGGAAAAATATGGGGTATCTTCAAATCAGCACATTATTATTTGTGCAATTTGAAGTGATTCATCTTTCTGTCACTGTCCTAATAATTTCAGTAATGACCTTTTTTTTTTTTATCTTTGATACTTTTGAAATTGTATGATTATTATAAAACATAGAACACTTTAAACTTGCTTCATGTCAAATATTTATAAAAGCAAAGCTGTAATGTTAGATATATTGAATACAGCACAACAAGAAAGATGCCAGATATAAGTAAATGCAGAAAAAAATCATATAAATGAAATTAATTCAAGAAAGACTTAAAGCAGAGCTTATTGTTTTGTTATCATATACAGTATAATCCAAATAATATGCAGCATAATGCTATATAATGCTGTAAATCCAAAACATAAGCTACCAATACAGACAGTCTACACAAAGCAACATTTTAGCTTATGAAGGCTGCTGCAATGGGTTCTGCTTATTGGTTAAAGAAAAATTTAAGTTATTCAGCCAAGCTAGATAGACTAGATCCTAGAACTAGACAGACATAGATCATCACCTTGAATGTTTCTTCAGTGAAGTAACATGGACACTGTCAGATAAAAATAGGCAACTGTTAAGAGACTGCTTTACAACTTAAATTTAACATTTTATATAATGAAATTAGATGAAACGTCTGCTGAGGAATTTCTTTTGTTTCACTGTTTAACAGTGATTATACCTTATTTCAGTTTGAGTACAATTCATCTCTGTTAAAAGAGGCCTCCATACTTTAAGACTACCTAAGTCAGTCTGACAATAACACCAGGTCCCAAGCCTGCCTCTTTGGTTCACAAGGTTGCTGACCATGGGCCTGACACTGGGGCTGTACATGGTAAAAGTTGTCATTCAACGCAGATCTTCAGCTAAAAGAGGTGATCTGTAAGTCTAACATTCAGGAACTATACTAGGAATGTCTCTCTGAGCAGTTCAAATTGCTGTAGATATAACCTGAAAAGAAATGGAATACTGAAATAAAAGATGTAAGAAGAAGATTGGGAAAAAAACTAAGAAAAAATAATGAGAAATGTTAATGACAAATTCAAGTACTGGTAAACAATATTGTATTTTTCACTTTGGGGTTAATAATAAGAATTTCATTTCTAGTTACTGTCAAATAAGAATCAATGTACAAGCATTTAATCCAGATAACAGACTTAATAAATGAGCTTACCTGCCCTTGTTCTCTTTTCCTTTAATTTTACTGTCTTGACCTTTTCCTCCAGTAGGATCCCACTCTACACAGGTATCTTCAACTTTCAGGTTCAAATGGGAGGATGAGTTATCCAAATTGAAATTAAGTGCTAACCAAAACAATATTTCATTTTTAATGTAGCACATCTCTGGTTTCTGAAGCACAGCCATCATCATATTATTTTCCAACTCAATAGATTTCAACACTGTATATAAAGTTTCAGTTCTTAACCTTAAGATTTAAAGTCTACAATGATAAAGCCATAATCTACTAATTCCTACTCTATTTCCCATTATTCTCCTCTATATATCTATCCTATACTCCAACCAAATACAGTGTACCTGCATGGTCACTGGTCTTTCTGCTTTTCCTTCTGCTGGAATCTCCATTAGCACAATCGCTTCAATTTCCTATTATCAGAGCATCAGCTGATTGTTACGACTAAACAAAGAGGAGCTAGTACAATCAAGGATGAGGACAAAGTGATGTGGTGTAAAAAATTATAGACCCTGGCATACACATATTTTCTCTTTTGCTCTAACACTTAATAATTTCATATTTAAACTCTCAGTAATTTTAAAAATAAGGCAAGCATGGAGAAATAGGCCATGATGGCAGAAACAAGGGAAATAACTCAGCTGAAAGAGCTAAGATGATTTACAAGACAAAGAATAGATGGAGGAAAAGGGCTACTTAAATGAAAACAAATCAAGAAAATACAACACAAACTACGCTTTTCAAATTATTTGGTATCGGGGAACTATCTGTACTATTCATAAGACTTACTTAGAACTGCTAATTTAGGAAATCAGTTTAACACAGTATCACTTGCTCCTTTTAGACACTGAGGGTTAATCATTGAAATGTATCAATTTAATATGCAATTTCTGGAATTTCTGTTTTAAGCAAGGTGTCATCTACTACACAGTTACCCATAAATCTGCTTATTAGTTGTATTTCCCTCCAAAACTTTAAATTTCTTGTAAGTATTCACTAAAGAAATATTGCTTTACAATACCCCATTTCACTAAAGGATAATATGTGATTTAGCTAGCGGTTCAGTGTGTCTGTGAAATATTCATCATCAAACAACAAAATATTCATATAGAAAACCTAGTGCTTATCTAGTGCATGAAGAATCCTTTTATACTCTACTGCTTTGTAAGGGGCACTTTAATTTCCCCTATACATCTGACCTATTGTTCACTGTATTTCAAAACATTCTAAATACAAACTGACTAACCATAACCACTTCCAGAAAATGTCATACTATACGCAAAAAAGTTAATAGCTTTCGAAACATGCATGTAAACAGAAATGAATTTACTGAAAGAAGAAATAATACAGTTCCAGTAAAAATGGAAATAAAATTCCTCAAAAGGGAGGTGACTGAAAAGTTAGGATTATGCAAAACTGAGATCCTGTATTACCAAGAAAGAACTGTCTTGAGAAAACACAGTTAACCTCTATATTAGTTATTGGTTAATACATGTGAGGGCATCTGAATTTTTGAGAGAAACAGTGGATATAACTCAAGGTGCCATCAACACTCAGCTGCTTGTTAAAATCCTAAGGAAGGAAAAAAATCGTGAAGTTATTCCCTATCTTTGATGACGAAGATCAGAGTAGAGTCAGGGTGGCAAAAACAAGTATCATCCCTCAAGCCACTTGAGACCAGACTTATCAAATACCATTGCACCCAAACAGAAAGGTATAGGTTTCAATCTCAGGGGTGCAATCTTTTCTCTCTTCCTTTTTGGACACTGTCCCTTCAAGAAGCCTCAACTAAATCACTGAGGCTCTCTAAGTAACAAGGATAATATTTTACTATGAAGTTTAAAAAAAAGATTGGCCTCAAAAGTAAGGCCTCAACTGTTAGTCTTCTCTATCATATAAGCCCTGTAATGAAGCCAGATACTAGTTTCCATATCTTTAAAAGTCTGTGTGAACGAAGTACCAAAAAAAACTAAGGCACAACTACGTTTCCTGTGCTTACTCTGGGTTGGCGGCTATTTCCGTACTGTAAAATTACATCATAGATACTAACATTTGAGGCTAGAAAGCAACTGGTGATTAGTATCACATCATTTACAAGGAAGAGATAATATACTTTAAAAATTCTGGTCATAAGAAATCATATTATTCATAACTTTTGATAATTTCAATAAAAGAAGAAACTACATACTTTGGAGAGACAGATATTAACAAGGTTCACTATCTTCTATACCAAGCACCACAAGTGGCAGGACTCAACTATTTAATCTCCATCTCTCTCTCCCTTCCCCTCCAACTCTCTGCTCATACATTTATTTCTAAGGGTTGGTCAAAAGGGCTACAACAAGTCAAAAAATTAGTAAACAACTGTTTACTATGGTACTTTAAAAAACCTGACTTTTCTCTTGAGCTCCTGCTGTCATTAGTAGCCACTCCAGTGGTATGGAATAACCTTAGAAAACCTGTGACCCACAGCTTCTTAAGAGATAATTTTACTGAATCTCCCAGAAGGTCCTAGAAGGTTCAGTGGGCCTCAGGGTTGAGTATCAGTCTACTCCAACCCCAGGAGGTTTACCCCATAGTGAGAACTGCTCAAAAGGACTAGAATCAACTTAGTCTTGCCCTGCAAACCCTAAGACCAAGAATTTGACTACTTAAAATCTAGACACTGCTAATGGGAACAGACAGTCCAGCTCCAAAGAAACTACAGGCCTTATACTCATTTTCCTGAATCTACAGAATTTGCATGGAAATGTACAATTCACCACATTTAGGCCCAAGTTTGGTCACTAAATATTAAAGGAAAAGGAACAAAACAAATTTAAAAAGATAAAATATTCTTAGAGGAGGAGGATATTAATAATAATGCAAATTTACCTGACAAGGGCTGAAAACAGTTCAAGTTATACAGAAAAGATTATCTGCCTGTAAATATGACTTTATTTTGAAATGGTATTAACAAGGAATTCTAAGTAACTGAATTTCTTGGCTAAGTTATCTGTAGTTCTCAAATAAAAACATGTGCTAATCCAAATTACTTTGACTTAGTTTTGTTTTGCTTTTTTAATCTTTCTAATGCAATCATATCCTTATGAGTTTAACCTGTCAATAACTTATGAACTTCTTGTTTTATTCTAAAATGACATTTTTATACCAGCCTCCAAGTCATATCAAACTTCTAGCATTCAAACCTATTCAAATGCTATGTGAACTGGAGGTCAGTGAAACACTCAAAGGTCCAACTATCTCACAACAATGGGTAGACACTGATTCTGGAAGTAAACTGAGTCAGTTATCATCTCACAACTGGAAAGATCTATAACATTATGGCCTTCAAATTGGTAAATACCTGAAAAATCTTCCGCGTTTAAATATGTTACTCTTTGTTGTTGTTCAGTCACTAAGTCATGTCTGACTCTTTGCAACCCACAGACTGCAGCACACCAGGCTCCCCTATCATTCACTATCTCCTGGAGTTTGTTCAAATTTATGTACATTGAGTTCTAATAAATTCAAATTTTTCTCAGAGACTAGAAGCACTTACTTACATTCCTGGCCCACAATAAAGGCAGGCAGATAACTTGTAAATAAGATTCTTGTTCACACCTTTCCAAGCTAGTTTTAGGGATCATGGCTAAGTTATTTAACGTATCTGAGCTTCCCTTTCTTCACCTACAAAATGATTATCAATACCATCTATTCTACTGATCCCTCAGGATGGTTTCAATGATCAAATAAAAGACTTGTTAGAGGGCTTTGTAAACATTAACAAACTATATAAATAATAATTTCTACAATAAGATTTATGAAAACAAAAACAACTGGAACTAAATTGAATACACACTTCCCTATTATTGAGACATAATCCATTCTCTGGGCAAACCTCAGCAATGGGAATGTAATTATACTAGACTGAAATTTGTAAACTAAGTACCCATGGGAGAACATAACACCATCACTGGTCTATTTCACGCATCTGAAAATGAAAGTCACTGTCACGTTGAACTATTTGCAACCCCATGGACTGTAGCCTACTGGGCTCCCCTGTCCATGGGATTCTCCAGGCAAGAATACTGGAGTGGGTTGCCATTTCCTTCTCCAGGGGATTTGATTCCTGGGTCTCCTGCATTGCAAGCAGAAGTTTTACTGTCTGAGCTATCAGGGAAGCCCCTGACTCATCTGAATGCTAGGGTAAAAGAGAAACCAATGAAATCCACTACTGTAGTCCTAATTTTCCCATCTTAAAATACCTCCTGATGAGAATTCTGTGTGTGGGTGGGTGGGTGGGTGGGGGGCGCCGGGTATGAAGGTGGGGAAGAAAGGCAAGTGTACACGAAATGTTTCCTATTACAAAGTGTTGAACAGCTTCACATGTTAAGTTCTGTTTCAGGGTGAACAACAGCTATTGATCTTACCTTTGGTCTCCAGAGTCACTGGATCAGAAAACTCTCCAGCCACAGCCTTATTACAAGCTCGCACTCTGAAATTCATGTACTTTGAATCAAACTTTAAACCTGAAAAAAAATGAAAAACAGCCTTGAGATATGAAAAGTAAAGAACTCTACTCCAAAAGTATGAGTATGAACCTTCAAACAGCCTTTTTTCCCTCCTTGGAACTATCTTTTTACTCAGGAAGAGTACAAATTTATGTTAACAGAGTGATAATGCCTGAAATAAAGGGAATCATGATTTATCTATTATTTTCTTCAAAATAAATGAATTATGCAGTTTATCACTGGGCTTTTTAAACTTAGCAACAAAAAAAATTCTCAAGCCACATTATAAGTAAGGTTTCATTCATGGAGAGATGCTATGATTTAAAACAACATACTCAATTTCTGGAATGTAGCTAAAGAATTTTTATATTTCACAAGTAAAAAATGAATTTAAAGAGAAAGTGAAGCATAAGGATTAATAGGAAAATTCTGAAGTTAGTTAGGACCAGACTAACATCTCTAGTAACATCTAACTAGTAATCCAAAAATTACTAGCTATGGGGCATTCAACAACTTGATAGAGCCACAGTTGTATATCTGTAAAATGGAAAAGGAAAAATCCACCTCACAACTGTAAGGACTAACTGAAATGTACTGTACTTATAAAATCAGATGTCCTGTGAACTTCAGTCCAGATCCTGACAAATGTTAGGTTCTCAGTAATGGTAACAATACTAATGTTATACTGCACACATAAAACAAACAGTAAAAATCTCAGGCAACAGCCAGCCCATTCAAATACCCTAACTCCCCCATATGTAGCGGTATGTTTTTAAAGACTATCAAAAGGCCAACACACAAATTTTCTAATATCAAGTCACAGCTCAACTTTAAGTATTACCATAAAGGTAATAATAAAAAGGTAAACGCAAATACTTATAGTATCATTGAAACGTGGAGTACTGCATACATCTAGAAAACTGACAGCTTTCTTATTGTTAGAAAACTAAGGTAAAAAATTAAATTTTATTGAGACAGTGTTTACAATATCCCTTCACATATTGTTTTATCAGAGTGCAAATATCCAGAACTAATTAAAATGAAGGTTTTCAAAAAAATAAAAAATAAAATGAAGGTTTTCTTGATATTTTAAGAGAAATTCATTTCTATAACAAATATACAAAAACGTCAGCTTGGCTAAAGAAACCAAATAACTTGATCTTTTAATGTAAGTCAAAAATTCATCAATTTTATCTGTTTTCTGAGAATGAGATTCATGAAATGCAGTCATCTTACCTGATAGTGTATATTCAGTACCCTTAATATTATCAACTATCTCCCAGCATCGCTCATCCTTTACACGTGGAAGTCCATCAAAATTCGTTTTCCTATATTCCATTATAAAATGATCAATCTTATTATCTTCTTCTGGCATTCTCCAAGCTACTGTCACAGAGTTGTCAGCCACCAAACATTCTACTGGATCTATCTCTGGAGCTTTCGGGACTGAAGCAAAAAAAAAAAAAGCTCATTTTTCACTATAATACTAATCCAATATTTATGTCTGTCATTCAAATTATGCTTTTTCATGTTGCTTTTGAACTGAGAAATTGAATCAGGCTAAGAGAAGGGATATCTTATAAATGCAAAATAACCATTTTTCAAAGCTGTTTTAAAATTCATATTTCAAAGTTTTTCATAGCTGTATTCAAAGTATATTAAAAACACAGTTGGCAAAAAGCAATTCAAATAGGCTAAGAATAAAGAATCGAGAATTATTTGCTATTTCTCAACACACACATCTAATGTGCTATTTCAAACAGCTGGAGACCATAAATTAAATTACTGCTGACAAAATAAAATAACTTGCTTTGAATCCAATGATTAAAATAATTCAAAATATTTTCAATGTATTTTAAAAATCTTGTTTATAGAGAAACTGTAATTTCTCAACACTGAACAAAAATGGAAACTGCAACCCCATAAAATATTTAAGAATTTTTAAATGTTTCTCCAGAGTTCCATGATTCATGAAAACAAAATGCAATAAATGAGTCACAGTTAACATATATGAAAATTAATCAATTTCTTTTCCATAAAAGAGGTTTTCCATAGCTCCTCAACATTAACAGATGTTCCATTTAAATAGCAGGCTAACTAGGGAACATGGTCCTCCAGTGATACAGATGTGTCTGAAATATGTAAAACTGTGCCAGTTTTGTATTTACACACTTGTCGCTAAATAAAGCTTTCAAAGATTTATCCCAAGTATGTAAGGCTGGTTCAACATTATAAATTTAACTAATTTAAACTATTACATCAGTAGAAGAAAAATCAAATGATCAGAAGAAAAATTATATGATGTGAATCAATAGAGGGAGGAAAAAATATTTTACAAAATCCAACATTTATTCATGACAAACGCTCTCAGTAAACTAGGGAACTTTGCCTGATAAAGAATATCTACAAAAAAAAAAGAACCCAACAGTTAACCCAACAGTTAACCCAACAGGGTTGAGAAACTAGACACCTTTCCCCTAAAGCAATGACGTCCCCTCTCTCCTCTCCGATTCAACACTGTACTGGAAGTTCCAGTTAATGCTATAAGACAAGGAAAAGAAGTAAAAGATATGCAAGTTAGGAAACAAGAAATAAAACTGTCTTTGTAGATGACATGACTGTCTATGTAGAAAATTCCAAAGAATCAACAGAAAAATTCCTGGAAAGAACAATCTTATAGCAAGGCTGCAGGATAGAAGGGATGAACAGGCAGAGTGCAGGGGAATTTTAGGGCAGTGAAACTACTTTGTATGATAATGTAGTGGTGGAGACATGATATTACACATTGACCAAACCCACAGAACTGTGTAACAGAGTGAACTCTAATGTGAACTACGAACTTCATTTAATAATAATTTTTTAATATATTATAGACACTAGTCTATTACTGGAACATAAGCAATACAGACTACTATTCATTTCTATGGGAAGACATCATGGGCATTCATAAATTTAATATGCTGTGCCCTGACTGCATATGAGGAAGTATAAAGGCCTGTGGCATGTAGTAATTTTGTAATTTTGCTGAGTTAAAACCTGCACTGAAGTCCTAAGAGGCTTGTATAAATAAAATACCACTTAATCTGTAAGTGGATCCAGCTAACTCCCCACAAATCTATGTCTCAAATTCAGCTATTAAAATCACTACAATAAGAATGTACTGAAAAAAAAAAAAAAAAAAAGAATGTACTGGCAAGAAGAGTCTTCCTTCTTATGAATAATGGCCCCCAAAGAAAGCAAACTTGGCAGGTAAAAAGAAAATCTAGATATTTTAATTTAAATTTTACTTAATTATTTCTTATTTTAATAAATATTATTTCATGTATATTTAATTTATATATTTTATATAAACACATTTGTTTTTATTTTATATTTATCTAATTAAATATTTATTAACATTATTAATAAATTACTGGTTTATTTGTTTAAATTTAAAAGTGGTATTATTAAAAAGCAGAGGCATTACTTTGCCAACAAAGGTTCATCTAGTCAAAGCTATGGTTCTTCCAGTAGTCATGTATGGATGTGAGAGTTGGACTATAAAGAAAGCTGAGCACCAAAGAATTGATGCTTTTGAACTGTGGTGTTGGAGAAGACTCTTAAAGAGTCCCTTGACAGCAAGAAGATCCAACCAGTCCATCCTAAAAGAAATCAGTCCTGAATATTCATTGGAAGGACGAATGCTGAAGCTGAAACTCCAATACTTTGGCCACCTGATGCAAAGAAGTGACTCATTTGAAAAAACCCTGATGCTGGGAAAGACTGAAGGCGGGAGGAGAAGGGGATGACAGAGGATGAGATGGTTGGATGGCATCACTGTCTCAATGGACATGAGTTTGAAAAAACCCTGATGCTGGGAAAGACTGAAGGTGGGAGGAGAAGGGGATGACAGAGGATGAGATGGTTGGATGGCATCACTGTCTCAATGGACAGGAGTTGGTGATGGACAGGGAGGCCTGGCATGCTGCAGTCTATGGGGTCACAAAGAATCGGAGAGGACTGAATGACTGAACTGAACTGAAAAGTGGTATGTCAAATATTCTATAATAACCTACATGGGAAAAGAGCCTGAAAAAATGGATATATGTATATGTATGACTGAGTCACTGTGGTGTATGCCTGAAACCACACAACACTGTAAACCAACTATACTTCAATATAAAATAAAAATTAAATTGAAAAAAGCCTCGTATGTCAAATTAAAAGTGACTTGAATCTAATGCAGGGGAAGTTCACCCAATATCCTATATAGAAGTAAGAGAATAATTTCAACAAATGTGGAATAAAGTTCAGGGAAAAATGAAAGGTGGTAAACTTGTAATATAAAAATATTAGGGAACGAAGAACTCTCTTAAAATGAGAATGGAAAGCAATTCACAGCAACTTCTATAAAGCAACAAACTGTATGGACACTAGTGTAAGAATTTTACTAAGGTTTTTCTCTGCAGGAGAATGTAAAAGAATAACTGAGCAATGTAAAAGAACACTGTCACAAACATGTTTCTCTTCTTGGCTGCCAAAGCTCAGAAAGGACGATATAAACTCTAAGTTTCAATGAATGAATAATGGCTTAGCATAGAAGAAAATGATTATAATTATTATCATCCATCATTATCACTTCCAATTTTCAGACACAGGTAAGTCCACACCTCATTACTACACATAATGCAATGTAGAGTTGATTTGTGTAGTGTTTACAGAATGAACTATTAAGGGATGAAGGTATTCATTTTTAAGTTTATCTGACTGCATCTTATAGGAAATTTTTATGCTATAGCAAAATATAAGAAATTAGTGATATAAGTTCACTTTTCATAAATTTTAACAACCTATTATACCTTCCTTCAGGATGAAACTTCTCCACAAAAAGATTTCTTGCTTTTTATTACACCTCATTCTTTCAGACTGTCTTAAGAGTTTGCAAAAGAGGAAATCCTAACTGTTTATGCAATCTACTTGACTGTACAGCAGATATGGCCTAGGTTTGTTAAGCCATCACTGAAAATCCAGAGAAGGAAAGTAATGGTGAGAAGATTGCTTTTTCAGTAGCTTTTTTTCAATCAAAAACTACTACTCATGCATATATTTACATATCCACCACTCCTGACTCTCTTTCTGAATTTAGAAACAGTGTGAATGAAAATATAATGGTTAGCAATTCTGAGAGGACAATTTACAGGTAGGCACCCACTGATAAGTACGTATACTTTCTTCTTCTACAATTATGATTTCTTCTCTCATCTTTTCCTTCTCTGAACTCCTCTAGAACTTCTGATCTATACCATACAAGTTAATACTTCACTTATGTTACCATAATTAGTTCCACTATAGTTTCTTGACTACTAACTTTGTCTTTTCAATCATATTCTAAAGTCCTGGACCAAATTCTCAGAGAAGAAAAGAATGGTTTCATATGATTAACATTCTCTATCAAAAATAGCTAACCTCCAAGAACTGTAGGCCTGTAAGTAAAATGCTTCACTTTCCAGAGATTTCCTGATCACCATGTACAAACTGTTTTAGCTATGAACTTAATTAACACTACTTGACGCTAGTAAAAAGAGAATAATAACCAAAAGGCCCTTAATTGGCTCTTTCACACACGTGAACAATAATAATAAAGTGGGACTCAATTTTAAATGGTTTCAACTGCTGGAATATCATCATACTAATACTCTAATAAACCAGTGTTGACACATTATTATAAAACTCCATCTGAACCAGAAGCCACCACAACAATGGTAATAATAACAACCAACATTCATTAGGTGTTAACTATGTGCCAGGTACTCTTTCAAGTGCTTTAGATGTCTCAATTCACTTAATCTTTATAAAAATCCTAGAAGGATAACATCATATTTTAAAGATGAAGAAAATGAGGTGAAGTTAAATAATTTGTTGAGGCTATACAGCAAATAAGAGACAGCCAGAATTCAAATCTAGGAAGTTTGGCCCTAAGACTCAGCGTTAACCATTAACGGTACATTGCTTCTCTTTGCCAAACTAGCGATAAAAGATATCCTGTACTAGGATTCTGAAACTGGAATTTTTACTGTCAGTAAAATAATTCTCTAAAAATAAATACTAGCAAATTCAGTTATTCCTTAGCTGAAGGAAGAAAAAAAAAATCACACTATATTTCCTTAATATTTAAATTCTAATGGTCATTACAAAAAAATCTTGAAAGAAAAAAAGAGGTTTTATACATAACTTTATATGTAATATATGTACTAACTTACCTGGCAAAAACTTCAAAGTTTGCAATATCTGTCTTTCCTGAGAAAAATCCACCATTAAATGAGTCATGTTGTCACTGACCTTTGGTTTCAAAGAAAGGCGAAAGGCTGAAGCCATTGTTACTCTATAGCAAACACAGACATAAACATTCTTTTAAAAATAAAAGAATGGGAAGTATCACATCATATTTAATTTATAAAGTGACAGATAGAACTTATTTCTCCACTCTAGTGTTTTCTGAAGCTATTAACAAAGATAACAAAACAAAATAGAAATTTGCTTTTATAACTTTTGAAAATTAACTTTAAAAAATGTAAAACGTTTTTAAATTTAAAGACATTTAAATAACCTTTAAAGAACTTTCCTCCAGCCAGTTTTATAAAACTTCATAAAAACATAAAAGACTCAAGAGACAAATATTCAAGACAAATCATCTTTAACAGACTCAACAGTCATCTGAATCTCTGTAAATTCAATCTGACTTCCTGATGCCAGCCTCACTCCTTTTCATATGCCAAATAATGAACTGTAAATACACCCTGAATCACACATTCTGCCTAGTCATCACAGCTATCCCATGTGTCCTTAAATAAAAGTAAAGTACACTGGCCAAATACTGTATTGTTTTGTAGGTGCTAAAGAAAGGCTATGGATGAGGAAGGAGAAAAGTGAAATCACAATTCTGAATACTATGCTAGAAGCTATCACTCTGATATATTAACATCAGCTGAATGCAAGGAGACAAGAAGAAACAGCCCTGTGAAACCATATGCCATGGAAATAGTAGGAACTCAATCAATATATTTTAGATGAATGTAGTATACAAAACAAAAAAGAAAGAAGCCATACCAGACCTCATTTTACCTAAAGTAAGGGGAAATCGTTTTGTCAATCAAAACTAGAGATTAAAAGAAGTTCCCATACTCTATTATTTTATATCAAACTTCAATTTTTCATATTATAGTAGTTATCTACATATATCACAAAGTAATTACCCTTATTATCTTTGGTCAAAGAATGACACCAAAATACTATTCATGACCACTGTCCTCCTAGAACAAAATCTGGGAGAGGAAGAAAACAGAGTTACAGGAACAAAAGGAATACCAGGCCTAGTCATTCAGATCTACCAAACTACCCTAAAGATCAATGGTATGAAAGGTATTAAACATGTTGCTGTATTCAGTTCCTTTACTAGGTAATTAGGAAAGTAATCACTTTAGTAGTAACAAAGAGTGAACAATAGTTGATCTATTTATCAAGAAGAAAATGCTATGAAAAGATCACTAATTATTAGAGAATTGTAAATCAAAACTACAGTGAGGCACCACACCTGACAATGGAAGAGCCATCATTAAAAAAGTCTACAAATAATAAATGCTGCAGAGAGTGTGGAGAAAAGAGAACCATCCTACACTGTTGGTGAGAATGTAAACTGTTGCAGCCACTATGGAGAACAGTACAGAAATTCCTCAGAAAACTAAAAACAGAGTTCCCATATAATCCAGCAATCTCACTCCCAGGCATATATCTGGACAAACTATAATTCAGAAAGATACACATACCGCATGTTCATAACAGCACTATTCGCAATAGCCAAGTCACGAGACAACCTAAAAGTCCATAGACAGATGAATGGAAAAAGAAGATGTGGTTCATATATACCATGGAATAATACGCAGCCATAAAAAAGAATGAAATAATGCCATTTGCAGCAACATGAGTGCAACCAGAGATTATGCTTAGTGAAGTCAGAAAGAAAAAGACAAATATCATATGATATCACCTATATGTAGCACTTAAAAAAAAGACACAAATGAACTTATCTACAAAACAAAAAGTGACACACAGACATAGAGAGACAGACTTGGGGTTGGCAAGGGGAAGGGGAAGTTGAGGAGGGACAGAGTGGGAATTTGGAGTTAGCAGATGCAAACTCGCACATGAATTTGAGCAAACTTTGGGAGATGTGGAAGACAGAGGAGTCTGGCATGCTGCCGTCCATGGGATTGTAAAGAGTTGGGTATAACTTAGCAGAACAAGATGCAAACTATATATAGAGAGAGAATGGATAAACAACAAGGTCCCACTGTAAAGCACAGGAACTATATTCAACATCCTGTGATAAGCCATAATGGAAAAGAATATAAAAAAGAAAGTATATATGTGCAACTGAGTCACTGTGCTGGTCAGCAGAAACTTATAAACAATTACACTTCAATTTTTTTCTAAAAAAAGGAGGGATTGTACTATATTGAAAAACAATTTATGGAGAATGGGAACTCACACTTGACTGAATGCCAAGTACAATGCTGAGTACTTCACACATTATTACTTTAAGATCTTGGTTCTCAATATACAATGTCAGATTATATCAATAAGAAGTTAGGAACAAAGGCTCTATGTTCTTTCCAGCTCCAAGTATCTTTTAAATTAAAGACTTCTTTTTTTTTTAAGTTTAGTTTTAGTTGAAGGATAATTGCTTTGTTACAATATTGTATTGGTTTTTGCCATAGATCAACAATAATCAGCCATACGTGTATATATATGTCCCCCTTCCTCTTGAACCTCCCTTCCACAGATTTAAAGATTTCTTAAAGAGCTATATTCAGACAGGTACTTAGTAAATACCTACTGAATCAATGAACAGGTGTGAACTTGGTTGCTTCTAAACATGGGGATTTAAAAATTTGTTGAAAACTGTTGAGAAAAATATGTGAGAGTATTTTAAGGAATTTAAACCTGAAACTTTATAAAACTTGATTTAATCATAATGGTCTCTCCTGTAATAAATCATAATGGAAAATAATATTTTTAAATGTATATATGTATAACTGAATTACTGTGCTGTACAACAGAAATTAGCACAACATTGTAAACCAACTATACTTCAATTTAAAATGTATCGAAAACAAAACAAAAAATAAAAGCATAGCATGTACACCTTTCAAGATAAATCTGGGCCATAAAGTCACTATGGCCTCAAAGGGAAAAAATACTCTCTAAAAACACATTAAAAAAGCTTATCAAAGCCTAAAAACAAGTTATTTTCAAGACAATGTAAATTTCAGTCTCCACAAATAGAGATGTACAGCTATGCAATAATTTTCCAAAAGACTGAACTTATTTTTATTTTATATTTTTTGAACTTATTTTTAAACTGAGTATATTTAGACAGTTATGCATCAAAGTCCAAACCCACTACCTAAAATCCATATATAATTCTCTACATTACAAGATCCGTGTTGTTAGGGATGCTTTAATTCACCTGGCCTTTCTTCCTTCATTTTTAATAGTACAAGCTGAATACAAAGATCTCTTCTTCCTAGTTTTATTTTTGCAAAGAGAAAACTGCAAGATAGTAAGAATGATCACAATTTTTTCAAACTACCTACTACATTAACTTGACTCTCTCTTTCATGATCCCTTTCTTTCAAGAACTAGTAACTCTTCACAGTATACCTCACCTCAATTAATCCTCTTCCAACCTGACTAAGCACTTGGAAGCCTATACTAGTGATTTGTAAAGTTCTAAAAATCTATGTATTATCTTCTCATCATTTCTTTAGGTTTTCCTGTCACTCCTGCCATTTCTTCTGTATATCTATCACAGAATGTAAGTACTGAGTTCTCATAGATACTTTATTTTTTGATTGCCTGCTCAGCTGTGTTACGCATTCCTTAAATACCACTTCTGCTCTCTTATAAGGAAGTAATCCTTTCTTCCCTTAATGAAAATAATTATTTTATTATGACTATATGTTTATTTTTGTACTAAAAATACCAATATTGATTTCTAGAAGCTTGCTTCCTGGAAAAGCACATAAAAACTGTATCAGAGAAACCTGAACATTATGAAGCTAAAAAGTCCAATTTAAAAAAATTAAGCCAAGACTCAGAAATGTTCCTTACACAGGAAGTACAAACTTTGCAGGTAGCAAAGAAAAAAACATATACTTTGAAAAACAACAGCAACAACAAGAACAAAAAAATGGAGCTTGCTCTGGCAGAAAAAAAGGAACTTTGACTCCTTTGAGATCACCTGGATACTCTGGGTACTGATGAAATTAATCCAAGAGGCTGGTTTTGGGCAAAGAAATCTAGACTCACTGAAGAATATTCAGCCATGAACACTGATCATAAAATTAAATTCTGACAAATCAGGACAAAGAGAAAGTCAGGGGTAAGCACAGATTCTGGGAGGCACAGAACGATAGGGATTCCCAGGATAGGAACGAGAGAAGATTTTGCAAGGTTTTTCTCAAAAGTCTTTGGGCAGCCTAAAACCTGATTAGGAAGTGACTTCTAATCCAGAAAATCAGAGACCAAAGGAGGATTTAATAGAGGAGGTGGCGAAAAGAAGGAATAATCTAGCCACAGTAGAAGATGAATTACTTATAGCAAAGTCGAGCAGACACAACCCAAACCTTCCCCCAAAAACTGACCTACCTACCATCCATTCCCCATACAGCCAATACTTTTCACCTTAAACTCTCATAATCTCATTATCGGGATTTATGAGGATAACCCATGTCTTTATACTCTGATATAAAATATACAAAAAATACTGTACAGCACAGGAAACTTAATACTCTGTAATGACCTATTTGGGAAAATAATCTAAAAAAAGAACAGACATATGTACATATATAACTGATCCACTTTGCTACATAGCAGAACAAAACATTGTTAAGTCAACTAAACTTTGATAAAAATTAATTTAAAAATTAAATAAAACATTCAAAAAATAGAAGAATTATTTGTGCTAAGAATGCTATGAAAGTCAATGTGAATCTTGCCTCCAGTCAAATAAAAGGCCACCAGAAAAACACTAGTCTTCAGCCAAGATTAACAACAGCAACACTGGTTTTCACACAATATATAAATAATAATTTTGTGACTTATCTGATGAATAATTTCACCTAGGACTCAGACTGGTGCTTTGAAGAGCTATGCCTTTCAGAGAATTTCATAATCCTCAAATGAAGAAAGCTTAAAAGTGACAATCTCACTATAGTTAATGCTCAGTGACTGGCCAGGCAGATCAAAACCATCCCTTCTGTGATAACCCAATCCAAAACTGCCAACAGCTCCTTTAGCCCTCTTATTCTTACAAGTACTAAATTACCTTTCCTAATACTGGCCCTATGAATGGTAAAGACCTTTAAGCCAAAGTCTGTCATCATTTTCTTTTTCTCTTCCCACCAACTAGACAGCAGTGGCATTAGAAATAGAAAGAGATGGCACCAGGAACAGGATAGAATAAGAATACAAAGATATTAAATAGGAGAGCAGTGAAGCAGGAGTGCTTTAGCTCTTGAGGAACAATATAATGCTGTAACTTTTCATAAAATAAGACATGCTTATAAAATTTAACAACAAAATATGCATTCCAGGAATATTTTTTTACATTATTCAAAATGGTTTCCCATCTACTAGCATAGCTAATTAAGGACTGTACTAAAACTACATTATATCAGAAATGAAATTCTTCTGAAAGCACATAATTGTCCAAAACTATATTTTTAAAAAGTCTTGCTGATATGTTATTTATTCTAGAATATAGGCAGAAGATGCTTTTTCTTTTTTTCTGTACTTGGCCATTGGATATTTTTAACTAACGAGATTCTAATAAGAAACTGAATTTCATTTCTGACTTCAATGGTGCTACTTTAAAACAATGTAGGTTTTGTATCATACCTATCCTTGATCTGTCTGGCAGCCTTGGAGCAAATGAGGGAGAAGAGAAAGAAGGCAGTTAGTGCTCTTCATGCAAGTTTCACTGGCAGTGACATGCAAGAAAAGTTAGGATAAAATCCCTGGAACAGATTAGTTCATTTTCACCAAAACAAATTTTCTATAATTTGTACAGTTCATGACAGCTTGCATAATATGATGTTAGAACTATAGAAAATCCGGTCCCCATATAAATATATATCACCTTAAAATAAGGAGGGAAATTAAACACTTCAAACTAATTTCAGATGACTGTAAATTTTTTTTCTTACCTTAAGATTATCAACACACACCTCCACTTTCATTCAGTCTGATACTCTTCAACTAGAACACTCAATCTCCTTCATGGGGCACACATTTTTATGCATTCTGATGGTTTTCTTATATATTTCAAATCTGCTCTCCAAATTTTCTTCAGAGATCTCTTTCACCACTTCATAATGGTTGTTCCAAGTTTTCCCTATTTGCCTCCACCTGGGCAAGGACTTTATATTCTTAGAGCTTGCCTGCTAACATATAAAACTAGGCTGCAGGTCTACAACCCTTTACCCCAAACAATGAAGCTGTAATGGCAAAAATTCAGACAAGGAGAAACCAAAGAACCACTTGCGGCAATGGGTCTTTCCCTAAGATGACTTCATAAAAGCTGCCAACTGAAACCTATACTACTTTAAGCTATCTTTTTTTCTTCTTTTGAGAGTTCTAGCACAAATTTAGGAAGAGGGCACAGCTATCATTTGGAACTGTACATCTAAGAAAAATGATGAAAAATACAGGCACTGCTATCCCCTTTAAATCTACACACCATATAACAGATCCAACAGAAGTTTTTTCCCCTACACTGAGAAGAATAATTAACAACACATCTGATGTAGAAGATGGCTGTTACGCCTGACACTCTATCCCCAGTGTCCAGCATAAAGCTTGGCACATGGTAATAGTTAACAATTAGTCAATTTAATTGAACATTAATTAGATGTATACAGCAATGCTTCTCTGTCTCTTTCCTTCAGTTGTAATATTCTTACCTGGTACCGGTCATTTTTATACCGGTAATAATCTAGAATATTCTGGTCTGCATACCTGTCTACTGCTTTACCACTGCGCCACCTGGGAGTATTTTAGATAATTTTACAATGTCAGAAACAAAAGGAACAGAACTGAAATTTAGAAGATGAGTACATCACACAGTTCCAGCAGTACCATAAGCAATTCCATGACACTGTATACTAATCAGGCTTCCCTGGTGGCTCAGTGGTAAAGAATCCACCTGCCAATGCAGGAGACATGGATTCAATCCCTGGGTCAAGAAGATCCCCTGAAGGAGAAAATGGCAACTCACTCCAGTATCCTTGTCTGGAGAATCCCATAGACAGAGGAGACCGGCCAGCTATAGTCATGGGGTTGCAAGGAGTCAGACACAACTTAGCAACTAGGCACACAAACATTTTAACAATCTAATTAATTCTCTGAAATAGAGGCTGAATTGGAAAGAGGCACCAAGGGGAAAGTTAGTTAAAATCAGAGCATTGATCAACAGCAACAAAAAATAAAAATATATCTGTTTATGAACCATAACTGCCACAAGAAAAATATACTAATATTGAATGCAGCAAAGGCTAGATGTCAATTTCACATTTTCCAGAGATTTATCTTTATTTTGATTTGCAGTAAAGCCCAATAGAATTCCCAGTAAAAATGTAAATGCCATACAACACTGAGGAAACTTTTCAAGTTTTGTCTATACATTCACACTGTTTCATACTTCAGATTTTCCTATTAGATTTGGGGCAGATAATGTTGTATGGTTTTCTTGAGAGAATCTGAAAATGACTAGGGGGCAAATATTTAATATTTTTTACATTATATGATTGAGACTTCTACCTTCACCCCAAAAATACCATATTAAGAAATAATAATATGGGAAATGAAGGGAGCTCAGTCAGAGAGTAAATAAGTTTCAAAGTGCTATTTTCCCTTAGACAAAAAAAATCAGATTAAAAAAAAAACTGCATAATGGTTGATTCCAAACATCAGAAGTTTTATATTTTCTATACAAATTCTTGGGCTTCCCTGGTGGCTTAGCTGGTAAAGAATCAACCTGCAATGTGGGAGACTTGGGTTCAATCCCTGGGTTGGGAAGATCCCCTGGATTCCAAACATCAGAAGTTTTATATTTTTTATACATATCTTTATCTATCTATAAAGAGCACTATTTAAAAAAAAACATAATTATTTAAAAGCCTTCACAAAACCCTAGTAAATAACTTGAAATAAATTTTGCATCTCGTACTGCATGCATCTATACTCTATGATTAGATACATACATATAACAGGAGACCACATTTCTATGAAACACATGTAAGTAAAGGTGAAAAGGCATAGTTCTTAACAAATATTTTTGTGGATTTTTTTAGGTTTTAGGGTGGGTATTTTTTGGCCATGCCATGTGGCATGCAAAATCTTAGTTCCCCAACCAGAGGCTGAAACTGCGCCGCCTGCACTGAGAACATGGCATCTTAACATGGCATCCCTGGAATGCCAGGGAAGTCCCTATTCTGAAACATTTAGAATTGTTTTGAAACTGCCTTCAGAACTGAAACTTTCCTGCCTTTTCTGGGGGGAGGGGGGCACACCGAGCAGCTTGCAGGATCTTAATTCACCAACCAGGGATTGAATCTGTGTGCCCTTCATGCTTTTCTTGATGGTCCTCTTTCCTGAAATTCCTGACTGCAGCTCACAGAAGGAGCTTCTGCCAATACTACTTCTGCTCCCTTGAAAATACTGAGTGAGCTTCCACCATTCTCGTTATTTGTTCCTCCCAGTGGTCAGAGACTGACACTTGCTGAACAATATTCAAAAGGTGAGTTACTCTAAGTCAAAACTGGGAAATACACAAAATCCTTTCTCCCTTTTCACCTGTGATCAAATCCAGAAGACTATTTCCCTTTCACCTTATTCTGTACTTATCTCTCCATTGTAGGCATTTGTGGGCAGGTAACCATTTCCTCCCTCCTCGTCTGACAACTGAGTTATGTGTGGCAAAATTGTGACGAAATGGTTGGTGAGTTATACTGACTTGGAAATTGTCCCACAAACTCAGCTCTTTTCATAGGTAGAATTCAAGCTCTAAACTCACGGGAGAGCGGGAGTTGGTGGGAATACTAATGTTGCTAAGGGATCGATGCAGTGTTCCGCAGGCCAGTTATCAGCAGAAAAGCTAAGTCTGATGGGGCTTGGGCTACTTGTTCATCCAGAACTCAATTGCTTATAAGCTTTTTGCATATATTTACTATCAGCCAAACTTCCAACAACTAAAAAAATTAGTGAAAATTTGTTCTAAAATCCTTTTTTATTTGTGCTAGCTTTGCACTTGTTCACTTTCAGATTATCTAATAAATAGCAGTTTTGTATTCAATTCTCATACTGGGGTACTGCAACATGATCACTTAAATATTAGTATTTAAAGTACTCTTTTTGAAGATAATGAAATCTAAAAAGAATCATGGCCTGGATTTCAGCCTATAATACTTTTTGCCTCATATTAATCTTATTTGGTAGCTCGGCTGATAGAGAGTCCGCCTGCAAGGCAGCAGACGCTGGTTTGATTCCTGCGTCGGGAAGATCCCTGGAGAAGGGACAGGCTGCCCACTCCAGTATTCTTGGGCTTCCCTGGTGGCTCAGATGGTAAAGAATCTGCCTGCAGTGTGGGAGACATGGGTTCGATCTCTGGGTTGGGAAGATCTCCTGGAGGAGGGCATGGCAACGCACTCCAGTATTCTTACCTGGAGAATCCCTATGGACAGAGGAGCCTGCTGGGCTACAGTCCATGGGGTCACAAAGAGTTGGACATGACTGAGTGACTCAGCACAGCAATCACTTTAATATGAGATAGTCACAAACAATATACCTTAAAAGAACTGTTTCCAAATATCTAACAACATACTGCTAGCCCATTAATTAATCTTCCATGTCATCTTTCCCTATCCTGTCAGCAATTAGCAATCCGAGGCAAGTATGAGTCCGCCCAGTTGGAGGAAAGTGAATTTAGTTTCTGACTTGGAACAAACAATTACCTGGATACTATTTGGATACTAAGAAAACAGTTGCAAGCAACTCTCAGTTAAGCATTTTTCTTGAACAATAAAATCAGATTTCTGACAAGGAAACACTGACAATAATTCATTTCACCACATCTTCAAAGGGTTCAGGCTATTGGGCAGTACTGCAAAATGCTGGGAGACAAGACCAAAAGAGTAAGAAAAGCAGCACATGAAGAAAATGTATTCAGACCACAAGGTGATTCATCAGAACCCTTCCAATTTACAATAAACTGGAAACAAGTTTTAACAAAGCTGGAAAGAACAAAGGAGAGGGCGAGAGAGAACAGCATCCTTTGAGAGGAAGAGGAAAGAAATGGAAATGTCAATGGAAAGAGAAACGAGAGAAAGTTATTAGTGTTTCTAAGCATTAGGTCCTACTTAAATTCAACTGGATTCCAGCTATTTTTGAGTACCATGTCCACATTTTATAGTTCTCCTGGCTTTTTCCTCTCTCTCAGGCACTCAGCCGTTAATTTTTGCTGCTATGATTATGCCTATCATTAACAGCTGCCCTCTTCCACTAGAAGGGGAATCTGTTGACAACTAGGAAACAAAAAGGGGAAAAAACCCTAAAAACTCATACAATTAGAAGATATTAAGTCTCGCTCATGAACTGTATGACATTGCTTCTGCTGACTTAAACTATCTTTTGCTTTCTGCATGATTTTGGCTATGTTCCAGATATTTGAGGTTATCATGTAAATGCCCTCTGAATACATGATGTATATATACTTTTAAAATAATTTAAAGTATGATACAATTTCCTCATAAATCCTGTGCATAAGTCTTACAAAGTACTATGATGAACTTTCTTATAACCCATAACCAAATTCGAGAATGAATTAGTTAACTGGTTTATGGCAAAAGAACTCTGATTCATTCTGTCAAAAAGAATTAATTTTAAAATTTCATTTTCAAGATGTAGAGCTATAAGTCAGCAAATGTTATCTTCTCAAGGAAGTCTTTTCTACCCCTAAAGTTCATAGAAAAATCATAAAATTAAATCACTGGTGGGCACAAGTGGATTATAAAGCCACCTTTCTAACAATAAAACAGTTCACTATATAGTCCACAAAGACCAAGAAAATATTAAACTTAAATATCTTATTTTGTTAAGACTAATTCACAGTACATATTTTACTAATTACATCACTTAATTTCATACTCTTTCACATAATTTTCTATGTAGTCTACATACTTATTCTATATCAAAGAGTAGATGTGATTTGATAAATTGATAATCATTTAAAAATTACTATACTTAAGACTGAGAATCTAGAATTAAGAATCTCTTATCAAACACCAAGTTACAACATTAACAGTCTTCTTGCTCTACTATTTCTATCTTCATATCAAATATACCCTATAAGGACATACATTTTCATATTTCAATAAAGCATTCTTAAACAGTAGGACATTTAATAACAAACAGTAACAAATTTCACAGTGCTCTCATATGCATTAAGTGATGATGTTTTCCCAATCAGCTCAGTAAAAGGAACATCAACCTAGATTTTTAAGAATGTTATTAGCAATACCAATCTTATTTCATTAGCCATAAAATGTTTATAACAAAGGTATGATTCAGCTAAAGCATACCTTTAAAATAAAGGGGGGATGTAACTGAAAAAAGAGTAACTTCATTCATCTGAATTGAGCATTAAACAAAATTTAAATAAACAATTTGTTCATGGCCCCAATAACACATACTTCTAAGCATATGCTTTGGAATACATGAACAGCTAGCATTTTACTAACAAATTCCAAGCCTTTTCTAGTATTAGAAAAGACTGAATGAATTCAAAATTAAATGGGGGAAATGTCATTTTCTTTTAAACAGAACTATCCTTTTTAAGTGGATTAGTCTAATTTTTTTGGTCAGTTTTTTGGTACCTTTGAAAATTCTTCAGGTTCCTTTATATCTAATGATCTTGTTGCAAATTCCAGTAGTTCTTCCGAGTTCTCCAGGGCATTATTACATTGACTAAGTTGACTCTAAAAATAAAAACAATAATAGTAATGATAAATCATTAAAATTAATAGCAATAATCAAACAAATGTATTTTAGAGAGGTACTGAAGGTAATCACTAGTCATATATATAATAAATTTTAATTATCTTAAACCATCCAGAACAGCTTAATTGCATACAGATAAAGCTATACTCATCACTTAAAAAGAAAACAAAGCAATTATAAATAGTTGGGGGTCAAATTTATTTAAAGATTCTTCCAATTAGGGGAGTCAGAAGACTATCAATGATTTAAATTACAATATCAACATAATCCACCTGTAGACAACATCCTCTATAATGGAGACTAAATTTCTAGATGATATTTAACTAAGCTAAAATGTATGAATCAAGTTATGGGTACATTCAGTTGAACACAATCTCAGCACTCCATTTATCACATTACTCAGGTAACACAGACTCCTAAAAAGGCTAATTTACAGCTTCCAAAAGTGGATAACATAGGAGTCACAAATTCAAGCCTCTAGATTTCAAAAAAAAGGTCAAACATGAACAAAAAGTAGTAAGTAACTGTTACAGTGACGTGCTCTATTATAGTGATGTGTTAATTTCACCCAACACAATCTTTCTCATTCAGCTCTCTCCTCTCTCGGCCTCTCTCCCTCGCTTTATCATTTGTAGTTTGAAACTAAGCTATGTGAAAATATTGTTAGTGATACTTTTAAACAAAGAAACACATCTCTAAGCTTTTAAATGTATCCAAGATTCTTCTTCAGAATATTTATTAATATGTATTTATTAACATATATTCCATATTCAAATCTACTTCATTTTCCCTTACAATACACACCAAAGATAAACTACGTATGGTTAAAACAGCAGAGAAAAACCATGGGAGGGAGGGAGGAAGGCCGGAGACTAAGCAACTGGATGCTTATAAGGTATTCCAAACCGGTGCTGTAAAGAAGGGTCTGCGTTCAAGACAGAACAGAAATCTGCACAAGATAAATCATGGGTGAAACTTCAGGAGATGCTGAGTTTTCCTTTTTTCTCCAATCGTGTTTTTTAAACAAATGAATTTCTTACTAATTGAAATTTATGGACACTTTATGACCAAACTAATTACCCTTAAATGATTTAAGTACAGCTGGCTCTTTAATAACAAGGAGGTTAATCCACATATGGGCTTCCCTGGTGGGAAAGAGTCAACCCTTCACATCTGGAGTTCTGCATCCGCAGAGTCAACCAACCACAGACTGTGTGATATTGCAGTATTTACTACTGAAAAATATCAGCATATAAGTGGATCCTCACAGTTCAAACCCATGTGGTTAACTGTAATATTAACTCCCACTTCCTAAATATAAACAAGAAATCTCAACCAAGAAGAATGGGCAGACTTGAAAGGGTAATTCAATTAACCCTTGGAAATTGTGTGTATACAGCCTGTTTGTAAAAGAAAGAGAATATCTGTATTCCTCCACAGCTTCAGATTCCCAAAGATATCATAACCAAAATCAATACACAAAAATCAGCTGCACTTCTGTAGATGAACAATCCAAGAAGGAAATCCCATTTATAGTATTATCGAAAAGAATGAAATTCTTTGGAGTAAACTTCACCAAGGGGTAAAAGACCTATTCACTGAATCCTACAAAACACTGCTGAAAGAGATTAAAGACACAAATAAATGGAAAAACACAGCTCATGATTATGTATTGGAAGACTTAATATGATCAATACTATTATCCAAAGCAATCTACAAATTCAATGCAAACACTATCAAAATTTCAATGTATACCCACGTATACTGCAGCATTACTCACAACAGCCAAGAGATAGAGGCAGCCCAAATGTCCACAGACAGATACACAGATAAAGAAAATGTGGTAAATATATATAAGGGAATATTATCCAGTCAAAAGAGAAGGAGATCCTGGCACATGCTACAGAATGGATGAACTTTCAGGACATTACGCTGAGTGAAATAAGCCAGACACCAAAGGGACAAATACTGTATGATTCCACTTATACGAGACATCAAAAGTAGTCAAAATCATGAAAACACAATACAATGGTGCTTGCCAGGCAGCAGGTGAAGGGGCACGTGGAGAGTTGTTCAATGGGTACAGAGTTTCAGTTCTGCAACATGAACAAGTCCTAGAGACACATTACACAACAAAGTGAATATACTTACTACTACTGGATATTTAAAAACGGTTAAGAGGGTAAATCTTCAGTTTTTTATCACAGTTTTAACAAAATTATATCTATAACCAATATGAAATTAAGAATCACTCTCTTCTATGAAAGTATAGTTATACACAAAAACTCACTAATTTTTGCTTTTAATAAACCAAGCATTATACAGACAACAATTATTCATATTTAAATCATTGTATGACCTCACCTGTAACTCTTGTGATTTACGTGCTTGTTCCTGCTTGATACTGTTAATCATACTTTCCTTTACCTCATCCAATATGGAGTATAAACTGTCAAATTCTTCATCTAATTCTGAAAGTATGTTAGAAGAATTTTCCTGTTTAATAAATGAATAAAACAAATTATTTTACTTAAGAGCTTTTAAACACTAAAAAAACTAAAAGATACAGTGCTTATTAAAGAAGAGAATAAATTCATACTATGAACTACCATAGCCTAACATCATAAAATAATTAAAATTCTAACATTTGACATAAGGATTTAAAAACAGATCAATCCAAGAAGCTGGCTGCACTAATACTGATAGTTCTACTTCAGCAATGCAGCCTTTTATGAACTAGCCCACACCCTCTCCTCACTTTTATAAGACTGTTTCCACAGGACAAGGAGAAAAGATGTTTTAAGGTTGTTAACTTTGTCCTGACCTTTGGGCTCTAAAGCAGACCCTAAGCCAGTGGTTTACAACCTTTGGTGTGCATGAGAATCATCAGTGAAGCAGACTTTAATAAAATATTCCAGAGACTTTGATTCTGTAACTCTGAGGGATAGTTTGGGCATATAGGGCTGGGGCTGATTTTGCACAAAGTTTTAAACTTCTCAGGTTGTCTAAAACACTGCAGTTACACAAGATAAGCAGAATTAAAAGACTAAGTAATCCTTACTGGGTTCGAAGAAAGGGATCAAACACTGAATTTTGGTGCCAGAAGGAACCTCAGAAATCATCTACCGAGTAGAATTTATAGTCAGACTTCTAAATTTTACAAACTACAATACAGACTTGCCCAAAGCCCCACACCTAGTTATTAGTGGCAGAACCAACACAGCATTTCAAACTGTCACCCTCCCAGAGTTCCTCACTGCCTCATTAAGCAAGATGCTTCTATTTCAAGAAGAAACAAGAAAATATCTGTAAAACCCCTAGATAAGCAATATCCATACTTGCAACAAACATGAGGCAGAAGAAATTATCTTAAAGTATTGTTCAACATAGATGAATCATTCAATTAAGAGAAGTGAAACTGGCACTGGTTTACAGAACTAATACACACAATCTACTATAACATTACAATCCAAATTTTTGCTTATAATGTTTATAAAACCAGACATGATCTCACTAGAGGCTTACAAAAGTGGTGTTAGTAATTTTATTACCTTTTATGCAGTAGTAAGAACATGATTTGGAGGAAGAAATGTGCAGTTTGGAAGGCAGAAGAACTAAGTCAAACTCCGCACTAACCACTCCGTAAAAGTGTGACACTGGACAAACCACTTAAATTCCTGGACCTCAGTTCTTCCATCTATAAAAAGGAATCTGCCTACTCTTTTCCCTCTCAATGACCAACTAGCACACCCTTAGAGTCTCCTGCCCACTACAGCTTATATTCTCATCTTCAATGACAAGTGTGTAGTTTAATTCCACCTCTATTTCTTTTTCTGGATGCTAAAGTCTGAATAATTTGTCAATCAGAAAAAATAGTATGAGCTAGCTCTATCTTAAGGCATCCTTTTCCAGATTTCGAATATGATGATTCTCTTGTCCATAGACCAAGAGTTTTAGAACCACCAGTTTTGCTTATTTAAAGAAACTGAATTAGTGGATTCCAATAAAATACTTTGAGAAAGATAGTTAAAAGTGGTGAAGATTATAATCAACTAACTTCTATCACAGCAAATTCAGAAGAAAAGAAAACATAAGACCATAGGTTTAACAAGCCAAGAGCCTGGCAATTAACTAGGTTGAACCAAACAAAAACCACAGGAAAGGATTCACTGTCTACAAGGGTCCTGGAAATCTTCTATTAATATGTTTATCTTACAAAGAAATGACCCTTAAATTAATTAAGGTGCAGTCACAGAAAAGCATCACCAGCTTATCTTAAGGTCCTTTCCACAAACAACATTTGACTATTTACAGTATAGATTACCCACCTAAACCTGGGATCACTCATTTCCTTAAGTATTCCCCTCTCTTCTCACTGGGCACTTAATCTTTTATGATTTACTTTCATCTAGTTCTGCAAGTGGACGTCCTACTATTTACATTTTCCTTCTATTATTTACCGTAAAAGAAACGTTTAGCTTCCCAGTACTTTTGGAAAGGTACGATTTGCTCTTACTTGGGATTAAAAAATACAAACATGAAATGGAAAGGAACAAAAGTGAGCATTATAATATTCCTACCAATTACTATTCCAGAATTTTCTTCTTCCCTTACTATTTGATCTTTCTATCACTAACCACTCCGTAAAAGTGTGACACTGGACAAACCACTTAAATTCCTGGACCTCAGTTCTTCCATCTATAAAAAGGAATCTGCCTACTCTTTTCCCTCTCAATGACCAACTAGCACACCCTTAGAGTCTCCTGCCCACTACAGCTTATATTCTCATCTTCAATGACAAGTGTGTAGTTTAATTCCACCTCTATTTCTTTTTCTGGATGCTAAAGTCTGAATAATTTGTCAATCAGAAAAAATAGTATGAGCTAGCTCTATCTTAAGGCATCCTTTTCCAGATTTCGAATATGATGATTCTCTTGTCCATAGACCAAGAGTTTTAGAACCACCAGTTTTGCTTATTTAAAGAAACTGAATTAGTGGATTCCAATAAAATACTTTGAGAAAGATAGTTAAAAGTGGTGAAGATTATAATCAACTAACTTCTATCACAGCAAATTCAGAAGAAAAGAAAACATAAGACCATAGGTTTAACAAGCCAAGAGCCTGGCAATTAACTAGGTTGAACCAAACAAAAACCACAGGAAAGGATTCACTGTCTACAAGGGTCCTGGAAATCTTCTATTAATATGTTTATCTTACAAAGAAATGACCCTTAAATTAATTAAGGTGCAGTCACAGAAAAGCATCACCAGCTTATCTTAAGGTCCTTTCCACAAACAACATTTGACTATTTACAGTATAGATTACCCACCTAAACCTGGGATCACTCATTTCCTTAAGTATTCCCCTCTCTTCTCACTGGGCACTTAATCTTTTATGATTTACTTTCATCTAGTTCTGCAAGTGGACGTCCTACTATTTACATTTTCCTTCTATTATTTACCGTAAAAGAAACGTTTAGCTTCCCAGTACTTTTGGAAAGGTACGATTTGCTCTTACTTGGGATTAAAAAATACAAACATGAAATGGAAAGGAACAAAAGTGAGCATTATAATATTCCTACCAATTACTATTCCAGAATTTTCTTCTTCCCTTACTATTTGATCTTTCTACGGAGAATCCAGGACTAGCAAATGAAGCTTTTTTTTTTTTTCATCTGCCATTAAAAAAACCCTGCTCTCATCTTCATTAGTTTATAATCTAGAGTTAATGGTATATATTTACACTTATGATTCCACCCAACAGTCACTCACTGTGATATAGTCACACAAATTTTTCTAAATAGGTTCATACCTGAACTCCTTTCAGTGTTTGGTTTAGTGTATCAATAAAATTCTGAATTTCATCATTTTTATTTGCCAGAGTTGAAATGATCCTTTGCAGAGCTTCCTAGGATAAAAAAAAATTTTAACATTATGATATTTTATTAAAAGAGAATTATAAACTTCACTACAACAATTGTCTTAAAAAAAAAATCTCTGAATATCAGAGCATAATATGTAATAAACAGGAGCAATGTAAAACTGCTCATTGTTCAAAGGCTATAACTACAAAAGGTGGCATACATACTGGTTGTTTTAAAACCTCTTATCCCTACAGTGCAACCATACCTTTCACCACCACACCTTTCACACTACAGATAATCAATATTATTTAGTCACCACCATACCTTTCACATTACAGATGACCAGCATTATTTAATATTAAGACTGTTACATTAAGTCATAAGGCCATGGCAAATGAGTAAAATCAAATTCTTAAATGATGCAAAAATATATGAAAACTTCTAATCAACATCAGGATACAGAAGTAAAAGTTGAGACACTGAAATTTGACATTTTATTTATAAAAATTAAATCTTAGAAATATGAAAGTAAATAATAAATTTGCATTTAAAATTACATTTACCAATATAATATTGCAACTATCCTTCAATTAAAAAATTTTATAATTACAACATTCATGGTAATATTTACAGAAGATAGAGAACCATAATAAATTAGGCAGATAATTTTAGTAGCAAATACCTCAAACTTGAATAATGCTTCCTATTATAATAGAACACTTGATTATTTAATTTTCTCATATCTCTAGTTCAGTGTTGTCCAATAAAACTTCCTGCTATGATAGAAATACTCCATGTGTGTCAATAAAAGTGAAAGGGAAAAAAATGCAGAAACCTAGGCCATCATTACTTAGTCATTTACTTAGTTCAGTCAATCAGTGTGTCCGACTCTTTACAACCCCATGGATGCAGCAGGCCAAGCCTCCCTGCCCATCACCAACTCCCAGAGTTTACTCAAACTCAGGTCCATTGAGTCAGTGATGCCATCCAGCCATCTCATCCTCTGTCGTCCCCTTCTCCTCCTGCCCTCAATCTTTCCCAGCATCAGGGTCTTTTCCAATGAGTCAGTTCTTCACATCAGGTGGCCAAAGTTATTGGAGCTTCAGCTACAGCATCAGTCCTTCCAGTGAATATTCAGGACTGATTTCCTTTAAGATGGACTGATTGGATCTCCTTGCAGTCCAAGGGACTCT